TCACATTCCATTATAAGCAGGTCCTTCTCCACCTTGTGGGCACACCCAGTTGATATTTTGACTTGGATCTTTAATGTCACAAGTTTTGCAATGTATACAGTTCTGGGCATTGATTTGCAATCTCATTTCACCTTCATCTTCAACAGCTACATATTCATAAACTCCTGAAAAATACAACGATTATTTATAATAATTAAAAAAGCATCATTTGTGATAAATTAATATAAAATGCAAACACTGAGAAAATCTTGCCAAATTTTCAAGATATTAGCATTATGTTTCATTAAGAAACATAATGATAACATCTTGAATAAACAAGACCAAAGAAATTTAGACAGTATAATAATAAAAAGAGATGAAGATAAACAAAAATGATGTAACTACAGAAATCCTCATAACTGTCCTCTTAATAATAATTGTCTCACTGAATCATTAGTGTACCAATGCATTATCTCATCTATTGAAGATCCAGACAACGTAAAAGTCTACATTGGATGCACAAGACACGAGTTCAAAAAACTGTACAACCAACATCAAAAGTTCTTTTAGGATAAATAAACACGAAATCAGAGTCCTATCAAAATATTTCTGGCACTTAAAAAAAACCAATAAAACACCTACTATGAAAATGGAAATTAATAAGAAAATCTAGAATATGTAGGTCATTAAATGACCAATGTCTTTTTGCATACATGAGAAACTATATATTACTAGGTTTATAAAAAAAAAATTTACTTAATCAAAAGAAAATGAAATAGCTATTCTCTTTGCTGATATTGTCAAAATAATTTAAATAAAAAAAAATGAAAATGAAATATTCATATTTATATTTGATATTTAATAATAATTTTTAAATAATTTAGGTAATTTCTATTACATTTATTTGTTTTGAAAAAAAAAAATGTGTAGTCTATTAGAAAATTATAGTTCAATATGACATATTCATATACAAACAATCCTTTTAGAAAAAATCTTTATGTATACAAGTACAAATTAAAGGTGAAACGAAAGTGCCAAAAAACTTTTTGTCGTTGAAAAAGAGCAGATGACGTGCGTTGAATGGATGTCATTATTTGTTTGAAAAGGCACCCTTACCCTACCTTGAGTTAACTTCTTTTCGAAAGTAACTCATACAATTGGAGTCAGTGAAAATGAATACTCTACTGCCCCTTGTTAAAATGATTGGTTTTCCCCATATCCACAGAAACTAATATTATTAATGTATGTGCTTATAAAACTCAGTAAATTTCAAAATATGTTATTCCAAAATTCACTTGAAAATGAAACAGAACTAGGGACTTTAATTTTATAATTGAATTTGTAGTTTTTAGCTTCTGTTTTTGAAACATGGTAATTCCTGTGTAGTGATGGAACCATATTTTTAAATAAGTAAATTTATAATATATCTATATTGGTGTGTGACTAAGTGGCTAGAACATTTACTTTCTGACCATCATAACTGGGTTCAAATCTCACTAGGGTTGATTTGTCAGAAAGATGACTTCTTGATGTTATCAATCTTTGGAGATGATCCCAGTGAGCAGCACCTTTGGAAATTGTCTGAAAATGACACCATGGGTTGATCCAAGCCTTGTGAGTGAAATTGGGTAGGTGGAACTGTGTAAACCATCATGTAGCATGTTATAAGTCATCATGCCTGAAGGTCTGAGAGTACTGGCCTTGTTCAAATTATGTGCTCTATTCCAGAAATTATGACTAAGGCCTGCTCAGAATAGTTGCAGTATAAACTATAGTTGGATTCTGTAGGTATTTAAACATATATATGCCTGAGCATATGTCTGCAACAAGGATTAGCTAGCCACCTTAGCAGACATGTATGTTCAGGAAACAAGAGTAGCCAGCCATGATTATAAAAATTTTAATCATTTCATCCCAAGTAAGGTGATAATACCACTATGATTCAAGGGGTTACTGGAAGTGGAAAATTTAGTGAGGATAAAGAACAATAAAAGAACACAATTAAAGAAGATGTAATATGGCAATTGACAATGCATTTAAATTTTTTAAGACTAAGTGACAGGGAAGAGAGAAACTGGAAGTAAGAAGTACAGAAAAGAAACTATTAGAATAGAAAATATGTTCACATCTAAGCTAATAAAAGGATGAGATCTATTGTGCCAAGAAAATATTTATAGAAATGACAAAGGGAAAGTGATTGAAATTTAAATGTCATATTACTGACCATGGATTTTGACAAGAATTTTAAGATATATAGAACAGATATAGCAGCAATATTCAATGCACAAACGAATGATAGGTATGTGTGTTTGTGTATGTGAGAGCAAAAAAAAAAAAGAAGACCTTCAAATATTCAACTGTATCCATTTCAATAGTAAATGCTGTATTTAATTTCCCAAATTAAATGATTTTATCGATTTTCTTTGGCTGCAAAGAAACAGTCCAAAATGCTAGCTACAAATTGGAGATAACAAAATCATGCAAGTACAAAAATTTAAATATGTTAGAGGACAGAAAATGTGACACTGAAATCCAAATCACATTGGAATAATGAAATATGCCTTTCAAAAGCTAGGCAAAGTATAAAAAACTAGAAAATTACATTAAAAAAAACAAAAAAACTACTGTTATGTAACAGTAATTCTCCTATATGGTAGGGAATTCTAGACAATCTCCTTGCAGATGAAGAGCAACAGAAAGGTGGTTCTATAGAAATATGCAGGGAATACCATCAACCAAACATATCATCAATGATGAAGTTTTAGGGAAAATGAAAATAAAAAGGACACTTATTGTTAACATCAGAAAGTGACAGTTGAAATTGCTAGGGCACATAATGAGAAAAGAGGTCTTGGAAAATTTGATACTCACAGGACATTGAGGGACAAAGAGGAAAACAATGCATAACCTACCTAATGGGCTTGTGTAAATGGATAGCAGAACAGGGACTAAGAGAGATAATAAAAAAAAAAATTATTAAGAGCTACAAAGGACAGGAAATTGTGATGAGCCATGACCACTCATGTCCTGAAGAGACGCAACACACAGAAGAATTAATTAGTCAATAGCAATAAAACCCCATAAACCAAAGACTATGAAGGATACACTTATTATTCTAAGAATATATAGAAAACATGTCATAAAATTTCATTAAAAATCATCAAAATGGTTCAATCAAATTGGTAATGTTTAACCTTTGTGCACCCAAAAAAACAGTGTGTTAGAAGGACGTTTTTTCCCTTGACACCACTATTATTTTAACTACTTTCACTCCTCTGCAATGTTTATGGTTTTAAAAAGTGACAATTTATTCAGCAGATTGTTTATTTACACTATTTATATGGTTTATTAGAATGGTTGGCAAGACATTTACCATTTTATAAAGTTTGAATCCATTGGCAAATTGATTCAGACTTTATAAAATGGTAAATTATAAAAATTTACTTATAGTTTGTTCATATATTTTAATAGTTTAGTAAATGTTTATAAATTTATGAATAAAAATTTTTCATTTAATTCTTTATAAATATTGCATTGTATTAATTTTAATTAATACAGTTGTATTAGTTTATAGAATGTTGGAAATATAAAACTATTCTTGTAAATAAAACAGTCTAATAGTGTTTATTATTTTTGTTGTCAGTTATCAAGAACAAAGAAAATTTATAAATTCACTTTCATGTTTAGATTTTATTAAAATTTTAATCATCATCTTGTAAAACAATAAACATTGCTGTGGCTGTAAAGGTGGTTAAGATAATAGTGGTGTCAAGGGAAAGACTGTCCTTTTTTTGCAGGTACAATGGTTAAACATTGGCAAAAAAATTTAATTGAACATGAAAACTTAAAACAGCTCTGAAATGAAAAGTGGGATAAACAAATGCATCAAAACTTTCATTTTTTAGTATTTACATTGAATACTAAAAGTATATATGGAAATTTATGGTAATAAAGAATTAAAGTAATTGTTATTCACAAATTAGGGCTATTTTAAATATATTTTGAAGCGTTATACAATTTATTCAATTATGGAAAATGTTTCATGTATATTTATTCTCATGTTGAAATAAAGAAAATGTTACAAATTAAGAAATATTTGATTTAGCATTTTAGATGGGAAATACATTAGAAATTAAACAAATTAGATTGATGATCCAAACCTGTTCACACATATCTATTAATACATTTGTGGTCATTCCAATCTGGATAGATATTTTTGGTTAAGTTGCTGTAAGTTAAAACTGTAATACGAGTTGGGATTGTATTATTATGTTTTTATTTGGTTTGATAACGAAAACAAGGGACATCACTCTTGATAACACTCAACCAGAAACAGAAATCTCATATATTTATTCAAAGATTAAGGATCAACTTGGTTTATTCAGAATATTTGGTAACAAAGGTAGAGTTCAAACAGTACGAAAATTTATATTTCCAAAAATTGTACTATTTTACAGAATTGGTAAACTAATGTTGGCTTGTATTAATCTGAGAACATGTTTGAATATTTTATTTTTTAAAAATATAAAATTTCATTTTAGTTTTTAAAATCAAAACAATATATTTTCTCTCATAAGGTGGCTTATCATGGTATAAACCTTATAACACAAATAGCTTTTTGTCATTTATTGTTTTATGAGGTTTCATTCCTACTGACCAATACTAGCAAAAATTTTGTACATTGACTACTTTGACAGAGATTAATTCATTCATTTTAAAATTTACTGCACATACATCTTCAACGTTTCCTCTCTGTGCATTTATATCTCCTTCTTTCCACTTACATATACATAATTCTATCAATATGAACCTTGTTTTAGTCTGATTATGTCCTTTTAGAGGACAAAATACATTACATAGAATTTTTCCACTTTGTCATTCAATTAACCAACATTGTTCATATATATATATATAAATTTATATGTAAAATTTCAGATATAAGTAAAAATATATCTGTAAAAGGACAATATGAATAAAGAAAAAACAAAAACTTAGCTGACAATTTTTGTCCTCAAAACTCATCAACTAAATTTTCCTTTTATTCATAGAAATTTATATATCATGTTTTCCCAGATTAATTCAATCAAAGAAAAATTAGTCAGGCTAACATCTCTTTCATCTTATAAGTTCAAAATTTACATTCCAAAATAGGAAAGACAAGAAGCCTGAAGAGCACTGTCTAAAAGACAGGAGAAATTTAGCCCAAATAAACCCATGAGTATTTCACAATGTCTTATTTTTAAAAAGATACTGATTGAATTTGTTAGTATAATCAAGGATATATTACTGAAGCAAAGTACACTATTCATTACGAGAGTAGTAAAAGAAAGTATATATATATATATATATATATATATATTGCAGAGCCATATGTATAGCAGTTATATATGAATATGAAAAATGTATGGTTAAAGTAGTGTGCAGAGGAAAAATGAAGACAAGGCTTGTATTTCAAAAAGGGGGATATTAAATAATTAATATTCTTGGAAGAGCAACATTTATGTAACATCAACCTAAGTAGAAATGTCTGAGCAAAATAATTGTTCTGGTTAAGGCTGCTGATATAGCTATAAAAATAGAGATTAAAATTTTTTTTTAGGAATGTATAATATAAGTACAGTTCATGTTAGAATATTTAGTATGATTCTGATAGCATCTGTATAAACTGCTTGACTTTTAGAATTTGAGCCATGATTCTTAGCAAGCTTTATAAAGTCCCAAAATGAAAATTGCCTTTATTAATGACTTGTATTAGCCATTTGTAGTTAATGGACTCAAAATGTGATAAAAAACAACACTTACTGACATGGCAGTCTTTGCAGATTATAATGTATCTTTTGAGATCTTCAAAAAACTATCAAAAATACAAGGATCATAGTTAGAGCCCTCAGATTGATTAGAAAAGGTCCCAAGAGTCTCAGTGAAGGGATTCTTTAAAGAAATACAAAAAATTGTACTCACAAGTACAGCTCATATATTAAAAAGAGCTTTATCTATGTAAAATGTATGTGATGTAAGGGATTTTTTATATATATAAAAAAAAAAAAAAGATCATTGGAAGATGTTCTGAAGCCATTTCTATCATTAGATCACTGTGGTTGGGATCCTGAAGGAAATGTGTATCCTACAGAAATCCAAAGAAATAATAATAATAATAATAATAATAATCATAGATCTCAAAAATGTGGCACATCAACAATCCCTGTTTTAGTTGGAGCCCTCGGATTGGTTGGAAAAGATTCCAGTAAATTAATTGAAGGGATTCCTAGAAGCCCATGCCTTAAAGAAATACAAAAATTGTTCTCACAAGTACAGCCGACACCTTATGAAGGGCTTTGTCTATGTAAAAAAATTTTTTTTTTGCAATGGAAAACGTCATGATACCATTTCTAACCTTAGTTCCCTAGGCACGACCCGGAAAGAAATGAGTACACATCAGAAATCAAAGGAAATAAAATAATAATAATAAAATACATTATTATTTAAAGAAAGAATACATCGTTAGATATGACAGGCTATGACAAGATATTCATTGGCATGTTTGTTTGAACTATGATATTGAAATCTCAGATACATTGTACAAACCCCACCTGAATGACATCACAAATGGTGATAGAGTGATGATACTGAGGAATTTCCCAATCCTCACAGACAGGAAAATTGATGCAAATAAACCAGACAGTCATAAAAGATTCCAAAAAAGGACACTGTCAACTAATTGATATGATTGCTAACAGGTTTCCAATGTTTCTAAAATGAATTTCAAAAACTACCATATTATAAAGACTTAAATTGAAGTAACAAAATATGGAAACTTTAAAACTATGATTATCTTTGTTGTGATAGGGGCATTGTCTTATGATAAAGAAGGGTGACAAAAATCATGTGAGTAAAATTCCTGGGCACATCAGCATTTCAAAACTACAAAAGATTACTTTGTGTGCAACTGCACATATCTGCAAAATTCTCCCCATCTAAACAGAATGTTCCAAATATGCATTAGATAACTCTTCTGAGTGCCCTTTTTATGCATAGACCTCAGATAAAACTTGAAAATTAGGCACTTAAAATTACTCTGGGACAAGATGATACCAGGAATAATAATAATAATAATAATAATAATAATAATGTACCCACTGAATATAAAACCCGACATGACAGAGTGGGCCAATATCTGCACTGGAAAATCTGCAACTTCTACGGAAGGAAACTGAAAAGAAACTGGTATGAACACCACCCAGACCCGGTTACGGAGATGGGACCTGTTACAATTCTATGGGACTACACAATACACACCGAGAACAATCAAGGCCAACCGCCCAGATATTGTTATTAAAGACCACAAACAAAAACGGTGCCTCCTTATTGATATGGCAGTCCTGCTGACTGCAATGTATCTTTGAAGATATTCAAAAAGTTGTCAAAATACAAGGACCTTGAAATAGAAATTGCGAAAATGTGGCATATGGGAACATCAACAATTCCTGTTGTAGTTGGAGCCCTAGGACTGGTTGGAAAAGATTGCAGTAGACTAATTGAAGGGACTCCTGGAAGTCCATGCCTCAAGGAGATACAAAAAATTGTTCTGACAAGTACAGCCCACAATTTACGAAGGGCTTTATTTATGTAATTTTTTTTTTTTTTGTCAGTGGAAAGTGTCATGATGACATTTCTAACCTTAGGTCCCTGGGCGGGACCCGGAAAGAAATGTGTATACGCCAGAAATCAAAGAAAATAAAAATAATAATAGTGAAAATAATTAATCTATAAAACTTAATAAATAAATCACTTGATGTGTGGGTTGTGTAATGGATTGATAGTAATCGGAATAAAAAATTGGAGCATCAAGTTTGAATTCCAATGGAGTTTGTTACATTCACCTATGCACAAATACCAGCAATAGGTTTAATAGTAGGACTTGTATCTGGAAAAATTAATGTTACAGGTACAAGTTCTTTCCAACTCTCCCAAAGCCCTGAGACAGTATGGAAGAGGGAGGCTTGCCAAAACCCACATGTCATGTGGGTGTGCATTCTGTCATATGTGAAAGAAATGTTCTTTAACTCCGTTAATAGAGAAAAACAAAAATGGTATAGACAATCAGGGAGGAAGGAGTAGCAAGGTAAATACAAATGTGTACCCTATTTAATCAAAGATTCTATGGCTGAAATGGATAATTCATTGTTAATGAAAGTTATACTCTTGAGGTGTGGGATGTGAGTTCAAATCATGTTGGAAGCATCTTTATTTCTAACCTTGTGTTGTTGCTATCTGTTCTAGTAGTTGAAAGGTTTATTGATTACAAAAGTTGGGATGAAAAAAAGAACAATAAAAAGATAAATTGGTTAAAAAAAACCTAGCAGAGAGTAAAGAGTAAATTGAGTATTGGGAGGAAAAATAACTATAGGACAGAATAAAATTAGTAAAAGATAATAGTAATAACAGTATATTGACTTAGATTATGATAAAAAAAGTAACAAGAAGAAAGAAATTCTATAAGAATAAAAATTTCTTGTTTGTTATATTTACTAAGACATATCTGAAAGAAAAGTTGTTTTCTAAATATACAATGCTATATTTTAAAATATATTACAAGTTGTCTGAATATTTATTTGCTAAATTAGCTAGATCCTAAAATAAAGATATAGAAATAACAGTTTACAAAAAAATCTTGAAGACACTATAATCAGTTCAGAAATGTATTTTGGTAAGTGATATATTTTTTTATTTTATTGTTACTGCAATATATTAACTGATCTGTTCTTAGTCCTTCCTATCAAATGGTATGGAAAAAGAGTCTATATTTTTTAAAAGTTAAGTCTCTGCAAATGGTAAAATTCTTTCCTTCAATGCAGATCATACACTTGAAGGCAAAAAGGTACAAGAATTGTTCCACAGAAATGTAACAACAGGAGAAAAAAGTTCAATGGTTCAAACAATTTTTGGAATGTTAATGACTTTTCTCAAAATTATAGAAGGTATATTTTGATCAAACTCTGTCATTTTGAAAATTTCTAAAAAAAATTTTTTCAGTCATTTCCCCCACCAAGCAAGGTAATAAAGCCACTAAGTTGCAAGGTGTTACAGAATGTGAGAGAATATGAAACAAAAAATATTGAGAGTGAGCAATAAAAGAACAGGAATGAAAAAAAAACAGAAGATAACAATTGATATTGCATTTAAATTTTTGAAGACCAAGGTTCATTGGAACACTAAAAGCTGGAAATGTGTTCCACAAGTGAGAAGTGTGACAGATGAAACTGTTAGCATAGAAGTTATGGTTACATCTAGCCACAGGGAAGCTATGTTACAGCAATGGGAAAGTGACTGAAACTGAGGTGCCAGGTCAGGACCAATAACATTGCAGACTCTCCTTTGTATTTTATCAAGAATCTCTAAATGCATAGCAGAATCACCAAACCAGATGTGGCAGCAATATTTGAAGCATTGATGAATAGTGGATTTATAAATATGTAAGATAGATTCTGGTGAGGAAAATCTTCTTGCGTGACACTGTGAACTAACTTTATTTCTTTCTTTTTATTGTGAAATAAAAAAAATTATTTCACAAACTCAAATTACAAGTTAATATCTGATGATTATAAAGTATATTAATTATAATTATTTATCATTACATACCAGCAGGACAAAACCTTTGTTCAGGTCCATCAAATAATTTAAGGTTTCGTTTCACAGGTATACTGTCATCCATCAGAGTTAAATGAGGTGGTTGATCATGGTCATGATTGGTTCCAGTTAGAGCTACAGAAGACAGGAGATCAAAAGTAATTTCACCATCTGGCTTTGGATATTCAATAACTTTGCATTCTGTTGCAGGTTTCAGCTTCTTGTAGTCAGGACCTAAAATAATGAACAAGAAATTTTCAATTTTTATTTTCCATATTCAATACACTATGCAATGAAACTTTACCTACTTCTACTGCCAAATGAAACAAACACAAATATATGTTTTGTTCACATCAGAGATTATTTTTTAATTCAAAGTAATACATTTTAGTGAATGCGGGAAAGAATATAAAAATTTAGAGAAAAGAAAGCAAGAGATTTGAAATTTTATCTTTTATATTGAAAAGGTAAAAATTTAAATATCTGTTCTTTATGTGATTATATACTACTATACCGCTTATGGCCATATCATGTTGAAACATTGGTTCTCACCCAATCACCAAAATTAAGCAACATCAAGCCTGATCAACATTTAGATAGGTGACCACTTGGGAATACCAGGTGCTGTAAGTTTGGATGTGGTAGTGGTGTAAATGGGTAATGGTTTTGAATGAGAAATCAGAGAACAGAGTTTGAATTCCAGTTGGGTTCATTACATTTACTTTCACACAAATACCCTATGGGTTAAATATCAAGAAAGACTAGATCCTATAGTCTTCATAAGGAAGTAAGAGCAGTGTACTGCAGGAATTATTCTGCTAAGTCAGTCATGAATAAAAAAAAAAAAGACAGGATCAACCAAGTATCCAAGACACATAGCATGGAAGACAGGGTACTACATTATTTATATCGAAAATTGTTACAGTTTGGCTGGAAAGTTTTCCTTCATCCATCATATTCACCAATACTTGTCCTTATTTCTTTAGTCATTATTTACAGACGTCTTATTTTTGTTACTGTGTTATAATGAAATAATCAAGTTGAAGATTAGATATTGTTATTATTTAAGACCTTTATTTTTAATAATACTGACATGTAACCAGCTTGATGGGAGAGAATTGAATAGAGCCATGTTTTGCAGATGTGTTTATGTGTTTGCAATTGTTGTTGTCCCCTCCAGACCAAATTCACTGATCAAGACCGATAACTCCGTATGGTTATCTCCCTTAGTTGGATCCGACATAGCATACTGTTAAAATTTTTCAACAATTATACTCTCTGATCTTTAGGCATCTGTTGATCTTGTTCAATATCAGGGAATTTCAACCTGCACCCTTTATTTTACTGGGATAAATTCCTCTTGTTCTACTGTACATGTCTAGGAATAACTTGGCTCGACCTTTCAGCCATGGACAGTGGAATAATAACAATCTACTATTGTAGATTAAATAAAAGGTTCAATTCAAAATTCCTTGGAGGTTACCTGAATTGGTAGACCCATGAAGAAGGCTGGGAACCACAACAGCCAAAACATTGTGATACTGACAACAAAAATGAGGACATTAGTCCAAAATGTAAGTAATGATAACTTCACATTTAAGAAATTCAAACAAATTTATTCCAGTTTTTAATTAATGGAAAAAAGGCCCTGGAAGACTACAAAAGGCACCTCAGTTCTTTGTTGAGAAATATAAAACGTCCGAGAAAATAAAATATGAAAATACCTGAAAAATAGTTGAAGATTGTGAAATAAAATTTTAATTATGCTGTTCAATAAAATAATTAAAGAATTATTTTTAGTTAAATTGATTAAACTTTTTAAGTTATTTAATACAAATCACCAAGTTTTATATAATACATATATATAGTATATTTTGAATAGTGTATATTGTATTTTCTATAATACACATATATTTTAATATGTTATAGTGACATGGATTTGTCTATATACAGAATTATAAAAAAGTCTGAAATCTTTATTCTGCCAATTTTATTTATTTTCTATTTTTAACATACCTCCATGAGACAAAGTCCAGGGCTCTTTCCCTCGAAACATCCAACAAAACAATCCAGTGTAAACAAGTCCTCCAAACAAACCAAATTTTGAGTGGAAAGAAGGACGGACATTTCTAACATGATACAGTTCATCATAAACCCAGCTTTTCTTAAAGGCTTCTTCATATTTTACTGGTTCTTTGCCTGTTGAAGGAAAAAAAATGTGAATACATAAAATGTTTGAATCGTTTTATGAATAAAAAGAATATTTATAATACTAAGATTGCTCTACCATAAATTTTGTATTTATGTATAATAAAAAGTGCAAGTTTAGTTTAAATCTTATTAAAAATAATTGGTATATTCAGTAATTTTATCTAATCTTAGAAAATATAAACTGTTTTAATTGCAATCATATGAAATAAATTTATTATTTTAGAGAAAATTTATAATTTCATTAAATAATAATTATCTCAGTATATGAATAATGGAAATATTGACAAAGTTAATTAGGAATTATTTTAAGTAATTCCTAAGTAATTATTAAGCAATAAATTAATTTTTAATCCAACATTATTTATTATAACATTATTTTTAGTAGGTTACATGTTTCTGAATAGACATCCCAGTTATTTTTAATGGTAAAATTAATTTCAAGTAGTCTATGAATTGAGAAGTCCTACTAAAAAAAAAAAAAAAAAATGGCTTAAAGTGGTTTCTCTGATGAAAAAAGTGAATACAATTCAATTCACATTATAAGGCACATTCTTTTTTAGTAGGACTTTTTGATCTTGGCAGGTTAACATTAATTTCACTGTTAAAAATAACACTTGTCTACACAAAGATGTGTACCCACTAACTATAATGTTTATCAAAATAATGTTAGAGGAAAAGATCCATTAATAATTACTTGGTTTATATTTCAGGTATGAAAATAAAGTTAGCTGATATAGACTTTTAAATGTCCCAATGAGAAATGTGCATTTCTTAAATATGGTAATTGAATCTTGATGGTCTCTTGTGTCCAAATTGATAAAGTACATTTGGTCAAAGAAATGGTTTCCCTGGTTGAAAAAAAAGGAATACAGGTATGATTCCTGTCAAGAAGTACATTTTTTTTTGTAAAACTTCTTGATCACTAGTCAGATTGACATTAATTTAACAAACACGTGTACTAAATAAATACAGAGTGCAGCAGATGTACCTCCCACATAATAGTAAGACATTAGTGGCAATGGTAACTTCATCTAGCTAATGTTTTACTATTATGTGAGAAGTATTTCTGCCACACAATACACACACATATTGGATGTAACAGGAAAATTGTCCAAATCATGTAACAGCATAATTATCCATCATACAAAATGTTTGATATCTAAAAAAAAAAACTCATTAAACTAATTGAGTTTCTTTTTTCCATGTTTTCAGATAAGTCATTTAGTCTTGATACCATTTGTCATAAGAATCACTGAAAAACCCTTGAGTTATTCAGCTAGGGAGAGAATAGGTTAAAATCATTTTGTGTCAGCCCCACTGAGCAATGGTGTGAAGAAAAAGATCATTCAGGCCTACAGTAATGGTACCAACATTCATACTCTGGCTTCCATCTTCAAAGTCCATTCAAGAACCATCAACAGAATGGTGAATAAGTTTAAAAAAGAGGGAACAGTAGAGAGGAAAACTGGATCAGGAGGTCACAACAGGAAGAGAGATCATCATATCAACTTAGAGCTAAAGAGATCAATTAGAAAAAGATCCAATTCAGTTCATAAGATATTTGGCATATGAGAGAGGAGTTTCAGATATGACAGTCCAAAGAGCAGTGAAAAAAGACTTGAAAATGAAATCATACTTGAAAGCTTTGAGGCACCTTGTTACTCCAGGACAGAAAGAAAGGGTGAAGATCACTTTGAATAAGCTGGAAAATGATCCTAGAATAATATATATATATATATATATATATATATATATATATATATATATATATATATATAATATTTGAACTTTATTTCAATTCTTCATGAGCTTCTGGATCCTTAGCTATGATTAATTAATAATGAACATGTCATTTTCATTTAAGATTGATTTCATCAAGATTTGTTTGTTAAGCTTGGAGAGTAATTATACATTCTCATTATTCCAATGATGCTGAGTCCAATAATGTTATAAAAACCTCAGAATTCCAGTAAGATATCTTTAATCATTTCTAAGATACAATGTTTCAAAGCTTAATCTAACAATTTGATAATTTTGCTGTTACACCTGGTATAGTGTGGCACAGATAAATCTGGAATTTTTACATGGCAACAGCACTGTGACGTCACAGTGTAGCAAGGTTTTGAGAGTGCCATTAGAAAGTGTTACACCTCACTGTCTGGCCACTGACACACATGGTGTTTAGTAATCAACATGTCATCAGAATATGATCATTGAGATGCAGTAGAGGAAAGTCTTTGCACTGGTCACAAACCAAGGAAATCACTGAATGGTTTAAATATCCTAAAACCATGGTCTGTGACCTTACAAAGGCATATGGGATCTCAAACGACAAGGAAAATTTCAGGTCTGAACACAAGTCATAAGAAACACTCTGGTGCCACCAAGATGACTGAGTTTGTCATTGACATTGCCAAGGTTGTGTAGAACTCCAGCCATATCATAGGGAAAAATCACTAAGAAAATGGGCAGCAGCAGATGAACTATTAAGCATATTATCAAGGAGAACTTGAATTATAAATCTTACATGCTCAAGAAGTGCCATTTGCTCACTGTACCATTGATCACTTGACTTATAGCATCCCTTCATTACCAGGCTGCAATCCTCTTGACTATTTTGTGTGGAGCATATTGGAGAAGGAGGTGAACAGCAGGACCTACAACACCAAGGAAGATCTCAAGGCTGTCATCAGGGACGCCATAGCCAATATAGACAGGGACAACTTCGTCCTGCTCCAGCATCCAGTCCTGCCTGGAGGAAGTAGTGGCCACCAGTGGTGGCCATATTGGTTGATTTTTGTACCTTATATATGTGCCTAACGGCATGAAGTTTCATTGAAATATATTGATTTTTATATAAAAAACTGTTTCTATTATCCATTAATTTTTTATGGATTTATCTGTGCCACAATGTATGTGTGTGTCTGTATATATATTTATTCAGTTTTCTTAATTCCTGTTCTTTTATTGTTCTCTCTCTAATAATGTTTGGTTTTTCTCATATTTTTTCACATTTGCATCTTAGTTGCTTTATGCCTTTTCTTGGGGTGAATTAATTAAAAAAATATGATAAAAAAGTAAAAAAACAATGAATTGAGTGAAGGTCATCTTTGCATGAACTAGCATTGTTTATCATTCTAGAATCATTAAACTGATTTTGAATTTAATTTAAAACTTAATTCTAATATGCGTGGAAAAGGCATGAAACCATTTTTCCTTCTGCTTTTTTCCATCAACAGATATCTTGACAAATATCTCAATTGTTTACAAAGACTGTGAGAGAGAAAGCGCTTGGGTACACCATTCACCTAAATAGGTGTTGGCTTGAGAAATAAAATATTACTATCCACATAGTTAAATCTGACAGGATCTATTAAGAAAAAGATTAAAAGTTATACCTTTTTAATTTTGTTACCATGAGACCTGGTCACTAATACCACAAAATACCAGTTAACAGAAATTTTCCCTGAAACATATTTTTTTAATTGAGTTAAAACTAAGAAAAAGAATTAATATATGTCTAATTTTATGCCAAAATATACATTTGAAGGTTGTCAAATTTAGAGTTGATTCAGTTATTTTTACATGTTTAGTATAACCAGTCTGTTTATAAACAAAGGAAATTACTGTTAAAATCATAATTTGAAGCCATGTCAAAGAACTTTAGCAGCAAATCTGTAAACTAAGGAAGAGAGATTCAAAATGTGTCATAAGTGCAGCTTCCAGGTTATAGAACATCAATTTAGAGAGGTATAACCTCTGATGGTTATTTCATCTTTAACAAATCATGCACCAAATTTTTCAAGATTTTATAGAGGAAAGTATTGACTAATTAAAGAATTAACTAAAGTATGAGAAAATGGTTACCTGTTATTTCATTTGGATCTTCACCAATCATTTCAAAAATAGTTTCTGCAGCCAACATTCCAGTCTTCATAGCATTATGGCTTCCTTTTATTTTTGGAACATTCATAAAACCTGGACTACAACCAACAAGACAGCCACCGGGAAATGTTAATTTAGGAAGACTCTAAGTGAGAAAAAAAATAGTTTAAATTAGTTAAGAATTCAAAGCATTTACTAAACTGACCTTAGTCTGGCAAAAGGTCACCACAAGTATAAAGTACCTAATGAGGATCAAATTCACTACAAAGTAGAAATGGCTTATAAAACTAGCTTGTTAACCATTATTCCACAATGAAGTATCCATATAACAAATGAGTTTGGTCTGATAGAAAGCCATAAATTTGGGATATTTAGTGATAATTAAGCTTACTATAAAATTAGGTATTAATTAAATGTGTGAGTCTGGTAAAAGGACACAAATGTGGGAAAAAATTGAATTATGAACTTACTGCAGTAGTAATGATATATAAAATATATCAAAGCCATTTAAAAAAGTTTTGCCAAATTAGTTCAATGAACTGCAAGACAAATTTAGTAAGTGAAATAACTCTTAAAACAAAAAGTGATTTGCCTTTAACGTTTTTCATACTTGTGTGTGTTTTTCTAGTTTTAAGTAGGAACAAATATTTATTCTTAACAGTCATCTGGAGCAAACAATAAGGTTTTCAACCCAAATAAAATCCAGGATTATGAATACTGATTTAAAAGTAAGATTGGTGTTAAACAGTTTTTCCTGTGCCAGGCTAAGCAATACTAAGCAAAAAAAAATAGTGAATGACAGTTAAAACTGACGTTCACTTTTTTTTTAAAAATGTATCTTAACGATAAACTATCATTTGGGAAAGTGGAAATTTCACTGAAATATGTTTAAAAATATGATCTTTAGACAAAATGATCACAATATATGAAAAAAAAAAAAAAAAAAAAAAAAGGTATAAGTTTAAACTGACCCAGGAGGATATGGGTTAGTGTATTTTGAATATTTGAAATAATATTTTGCTCATTGCATATGTGTGTATATAAATATTTCTTCATGTATTACAATTAAATGAGGCAAGAAATGCTCTTTGATTGTAATACACAGAAAAATATTCATGAATATGAAAGGATTATGCTAAAAATAAGAAAACATAATGTTTGTAATTTATTTAATAAGACATGCTTAAAAGATAATTTGCTGCCTAAATACACAAATATGTGAAAATATATTAAAACAAAGGGGAGAAAGACCAAGAAAAAAATGATTTCTCCCTGTAAACAAGTAAATCAGAAAATATAGCAGAAAAAAAAAAAATATATATATATATATATATATATATATATATATATATATATATATATATATATATATATTGTACAGGTAATCGATCCATTGGTATATAATCTGGAATGACAGAACATGTATTGTCAAAATTATTTAAAAATTTTTGTTTTTAAAGTTTTGATTAGTGAATTCAGTTTTAAAATTTGTTTTTCTTTGTTTGTTTAGTAGTATATTAACTACTTAGGGGTTATTTAATGTCAAAATTTAATTTTTTGTGAGCATTAGTAATTTCTTTTACAAAAATGTATTGCAGGTAATATGTATATATTTTATAAAAATATATTGCTGGTATTTTTACTATAAAAATATATTTTTATACTGTGATAGTGTTTTGATTCCAGTTTGGGGGTTAATTATTTGCCCATAGCTGAGATCCTAACAATTACCACTTCAGGTCAGAGTATACCTGGGAACAATGGCAATTAAGACTTTTTTTTTTAAATTGAAGAGAAGATTATAGAAAATGATATTTTTTTCATTATCTGGGTAGTAATAGTGTGCCCCCATTTTTAATTCTGATAAAATTATGATAGAAAATTATTTACTTTCTTACTGTTCTTACATTAGTTTACTGAGTGACTTCAGGTGGCATTATATATTGCTTGTTTATATTTCGGTGTGTGCTATTCGTCCACTTTTTTTTTTGTTTTAATTCCTCATCTAATTTTCTACCATTTATTCTTAGTAATGATTTCCAAGCAAACTCCAGATGCTAGCTAAATCCAGATTGATACAAGAAAAGATATAAATATAGAGAAAACTCAAATATTTGTTTAATATATTTCTAACATTCATAATGCTTTAATATGATATGTACAGAATTAAGGGGTCATAGGTGTATTGAATTATTATTATGAGTTCTGTTAGTCTGACAGAATGGATATGATTTTGGAACCAAGAATGCAGTAAAACTATTGTTGGATATCAAATAATTTTTTTAACCATTATTTTCAGCTATTATCTTATTTTTGTTTGTTAACTACAGCATTTCAAGTGATAAAAATGAACACTGAGCCCTTACAAAATACAATAGATGTCAAATATATTTGCAGTTGTCTGTAGAATATACTTGCTGTAATTATTATGTGTTAAAAGCAACAAAGATGAATAATGAAATAAAGGGAAAGTAATGAATATACTTACTCTTGGAACTACAGAAACTATAAACTGTTACATATGAAATTACATATAAAACTAAAAACTATTACATCTAAAACTATAAATTATTTACATATATAAAAAAAAGGATTAACACTTTGATAAAGTACAACTTGATGAACAATTAGATTTTGACTTACTTGGAGACCACCTTCATTTAATGCTCTTGCCCCATAAGCAATTCTGTTCCCTCCTTTGAAAAGTGGTGCAATATTTGGATGTGTTTTGAATCTCTGGAATTCTTTTGAAAGGGTTCAAATAAGGGTTTTGGTAATCCAAACCAATCTAATTACAAAAAAAAAAAAAAGAAAAAAAAAAAAAGAAAAATTAAAGTGTTAAAAATATTCTTAAAATCAAAAAACATTTAAAAATTAAAAGCAAAAAATAGAGCTAAAAAAATATTAGTCAAAATATTTTAAAGATATAAATTTTGATTTATTTTAATTAAAATCAGAATTTTTAATTTTTTTAAATAAATTTTAGAAAAAAAAGTTAAAACAGCTTCTAATTTGTTTCAAAATATTTAAATAATATTTTCTTGCAAATTTTTCAATAAATTCTATTCTTTACATAAATTCATGACCAATGACAAGCTTTGATAAGAGAAAAATAAAAAAAGTAAATGATGCCCATTGTATTCTGTGCTGCATTAAACTAATCATTTAAAAGCAGTTCAAAGTGCAAACTGTTTTCTGAATTTGTGATGCTAACCTTATTTGGTTATTTAATGCAGAAATTAGTTTTTTAATTTGTTTTTTTTTTTTAATTATATTTCAGTTTATTAGTATTTACTTGGTTTGGGATTAGGTAAATACTGATCATTAATATTGTGTGCAAATTAATCCTGGAAACAGGATCCAAGTATACAATTTTAGCAGTACTAAAAAAATAATAACTAGTTGAGATATCATTAGGCAGTGGGGTGAGAAAAGTCTACCAGAGTAGATTAAATAAAGAATTCAGTTTAGAATTCTCTGTAGGTTATCTGGATTGATATACATCTGAAGAATGGCATAATAGTCAAAATGCTGTGATGACAATAACAAAGATGAGGACAATAGTCTGAATGTAAATAGTACAAATACTTTTTAGTTCATATTTATGTAATAATAATTATTTGCTATCCTTTTTATATTATATGAAAAACACATCAGGAGCTCATTTGTTTGTTTTTTGTTTTTTTTTAGAAATATCTTCTTATGGTTGAATGTATAGAATGTAGTATTTTGTATAATAGTCCAGAGTTTAAAAACAGGAGTCATTGAATTTTTTCCTTAATGAGAAATAACATTAAACATTAAAAAAAAATTTTTTTAAACTTATAATTACCACCATTCCTACAGAAACTAATGATTCGCCTTCACCCAGATGATAAAGAAAAGATCCTCCATAGGTATGCATATCCTGAATAATCAAACAAAAGAATTCAGACAATAATGAAATTATTAACAGCAAAACAATTGGGAATTAAAAAAATTACAATTAAAAAAAAACAAAACAAAAACCCAACTAAGAATTCCTGTACCCTTTTATTGTATATTAATTTCTTCATCTTTGTTGCTTTATTTTTTATTTTGATCTTGTATCCTCCAGCATTCCCTGGGTGTATCCTGACCATTATCAAATACAGTTTCCCTTTCATGTCTGGTGCCTGCATCTGAATTCTTGGGATTGTCCTCTCCAGACACCTGTATTGAACCCATTACCTGTCACCTTTTAATGTAGTTTTTTTTTCCTCAAATCATACCTTTGGAATTCCAAGTTTATCACATTTTTCCTTAGTGATAGCATCTACAAACTAATGTCTATGCTTGGTTTATTGATCAAGTTATTAGAGCATGTGAGCAGATTCTTTCATGTTTCTTAATTCATACAAGAACTCTAAGACTGGAATAAATAAATTCTACTAAAAACTAGCATGAATGTCTAATGACTTAACAATTCTCAACAAAAGCATAAACCAAAAGTTAATGTCAACTATCTTTGACAACATTCCAAAACAAATATCAACACCCAAGAGCTGATAAGAAAAAATTATATATAGATAAAAGTAAAATTATTGCTTGTAAATATTAAACATTAAATTTTAGTCATGGTTTTTCTTTTTTTTTTTACAGAAAGTTAATCTGTTGATCTCATAGTACCAGAGTACCACTGTAGTGCTGTTTAATCCGAAAACTATATACCTCAATTTTAGAGCCCACAAAATAGCTTGAAACAATATTTCAATAAAATAATGCTCCATATGCATAGGGATAGGTTAAATCTCATGGCTGTACCCCTTTCCAACATATTTTGGCTCTCATCTCTTTTTGAAGAAGGATTGAAATGCTGGTCAAATTATGTCAGATGAAGATATTGCCAGGTATCTATTTATATATAAAATTCTGTGACTACTGTTAGTCTGTCCATCACACCCTCTAAAATAGTCATACATTGATTGATCAAAACCAAATTTTGGGGAGAAGTGCAAACAGGTAAGAGGGTACAAAATACAGTTGGTTTTACTAGTGTGCATAGCTTAGTACAATAAATTTTCATTATTTGTAAAAATTAAGTTTCATTATTTAACATACAAAATACTCCCACTATTTTAAAAACAATTTAATGATTAAAATAACAAATACTTACTTAATAAAAATGCAATAGTGTTCTTACATATCTTTTCTATAAGTTTTTATATATACAAGAATTCAGTTTCCAATTCATCCTGCATTTATGGGAACTATAAACAAATCACAAGGCCAAACACTTCAAAAAGTTGGAATTTAGCTCCAGAAAAAAAAATAACCATGTATGGCCAGTTGTATGTTGCATGCTCAAGAATAAGAAATTCTAAGAATTTATTCTTCATTGTCAAAAAGGTAAAAAAGAAATTTTCTTAAATATTGTTTGCCATGAAGTCCTATAAAATTAAGGAAATTATTAAAGTATTTTTCTAAACAAATCAGCATATTCAAATTTCAATTGGTTTGTGAAATTGAATGAAATGTAGAGTTAGTAAATCAACAAAAAATGTTAGTGATAAAACTAATATTGTAAGGATTTCAACATGCATCAGTGTGTTGCAAAAGAAATTCTAGTTTTCATATAAAACTAAGATCTGACAGAAAGTGTTATGTCAAAACTAATTACATAGCCTAATATACAAGTAGTAGATGGCTATTTATATGAGCATCTTTGTGCTGACCATTTGCTGCTTTTTATTGCTGATTTGTTCTGATACAGTCGGTTAAAATTGGTGAAATTTTCCAAAAGATATCCAGTGATAGTGTATTGGTAAAGTAGTCAAATACAAGTGTTCAATGGGTTAAAATAATTTTTGTGTGAATTATCTTTCTAAAAATAATAAAAAATAAATAAAAAGCTAGGAAATGTTATCAGCTGGTGTTATAGATACAGTACATAGCAGTCATAAATGTAAAATAGTTTAAAATTTAAGCAGTTGTATTCAACCTATTTTACCCATAAACCACTTTTACACTTAAATCTTTTTGGTGGATCCCCATAACCATTCAATGAAAAAAGTTTTTTTTTTTTTAACTAATAGATAATTTTAGAAATTGTATTATAGAAATATAAGTAAATGTATATGCTTTATTTTGAAGTAAAACCAATGAAAATAAACTTGTATTTAACAACTAAATTTGATGGAACATTTATGTACAATAGTAAATTAACTCATAATATATAGCATTTTAAAGTATGTGAGTAATTAATAAATTAAAAAAAAAAAGTGCAGATTTATTTAATGAGATCCCTGCCGAGTTTTTTTTATATTAAGTTCCATCAATGTCAATGGCAGTCAAAGATCACCTCTTTTCACAATGTCAAGTCTATTATGGGCTTTTGATACTAAGTGAGACACATGACTGTATGGACCCCAGTAATGTTACATGGACTCTCAGGGTCCATCTGGACTCTAGTTGAGAACCTCTGGCTTAAATAAAAGAAGTAATTGAATAGTTAATAAACATGATAACTTACAAGAGGCCAACCTATTGTATGTTCAATTGTGCCTGGTTTGTGTAATTCTGGATTGACTTCCCACAATTCTTTGAAGCCAATTCCATAACTTTGTGGTTCACAATTTTTCCGCAAATCAAAATGCTTGTATAATTGCTTTGCTAAATGCCCATGGCAGCCTTCTGCGAATATGGTCATCTTGGCATGAAGTTCCATACCTCGTTCAAATGAATCCTAAATTTAAGAAAAACAAAAACAATTAGAAAATGAGGTAAATGAATATATGTTGTGTTATAAAAGTTTCCAGTTTTTTTCTATATAAAATATATTGTATAAATCAAAAATAATTTTTCTAGTCATATGTAATCAGTTTGACACCTTCAAAAAAGAGGATGCTGAGAATATTTGCACATGTCTAATAAATTTTTAAGCGTTTACATTTGTAGAGGCTACAAAGTTTTGAATATAGAATAGTATTTGGAATAAAAGTTGTTGAATAGTAAAATATTATTACACAAAGATGGTTTTCAAATGTTTATAATCAGTGCTAGTAAAAAAGTTTCCTCGCCCCACAATCCATATGCCACCCTCCACTCTACCTAAATTTTCATAAGGTAGTAATCATATAAAATATAAATTTTATTGTAACCTAATTATGTACATTAATGGATCATATACAATATAAGTGAACAATTCAAATAGAAAAATTTAAAATAAATACAATGTATCAAAATATAAATTAGAGATATATCATAATAGATCTTTCCAGCTTAAATAAATCAACAATGTTTTATGGGAGTTTTTACCATCAACTTGAGATTTTCTTTGGTAAAAAGTTGAATAATTTTAATATTATGGGTAAAAGATAGTGAATTTTATATAGTGTTTTTTTAGACTTAGCATGAAGACAACAAATTCAGATTTGGATGAAAAAAAGAAAAAAAAGATCCCAGAATTACATAAAAATCCAAAAACATTTAATCCTTAATAGTCAGTTGTACTTAGTTTAATTTGCAATGTATATAAATGTAGGCAGAAAAAAACAAAAAAAACAAATGTTGATAAGCACAAAGCACAGCCCAGGGTCCCCAATCAGGCTTGTTCCCTAGGTCAGGAGGTTTGGTTCAAGGGTAGTATGCACAAGTCCTGTTTATAATTATTAAAAAAGTTCATTACGAGTGAGTGAAAAAATAATTTAACATAGATATTGCCCTTAAACTTTAAGTGATCATTAATTCTTGGCTCCATCATCTAAGCATAATATCTTGCTTATTAGAAAAATGCATCCAAAGTAAATGTAGATGACATACGACGAAAAGAAACATAGATGGTAACAAAATATAAAATGTTTGACGAAAACAAAATCAATATTTAAAAATATTTAAATAAAAATTAAGAAACAATCTTGCATGAAAAAAATTAATGAGTTGTATTTTGTATAAAATCTGTATTTAGGCATCAATTTTTATATGTTTCTTCTTCTCCTATGTGCTGTGTCCCTTCAGGATGTTTGTGACCATGGTTCTCCACAATTTCCTGTCCTTTGTAGCTCTTAATAAATTTTGACTTTTTGTTATCGCTCCTAAATCTTGTACCACCATCTATATACTGAAGCTTTGCTAGGTAAGTTATGTATTGTTTTTCTTTGATCCTCTTGCCTTTCATCTGTCCTGTATCAGATTTTCCAATCTTTCCTCATTACACACCCTATAAATTTCAACTTTCTCTTTCTGAAGTTAACTATAAGTGTCTTTTTTGTTTTCATTTTCTATAAAACTTTTGTTGCTCACATGTTTGGTACATAGTGTTCTCAGCATCCTTCTGTAGAAGGACATTTCTGTTGCTTCAAGTCTCTTATTTATCTGTGAGGAGATTGTCCACTATTCACTACCATAGAGAAGAACTGATATTACATAACAGTACTTTTTTCTTTGTTTCTAACAAAATTTTTCTGTTTCTTAATGCTTAGCTTTTTATAAGACACTTTTTGCTATCTTGATATGCCTTCGGATTTCAGTGTCACATTTTCTATCCTCTGTTAAAACATTTCCCAGATGTTTAAAGTGTACTTTCTTGCATCTGGCATCACCAATTTGTAATTTGCATTTTAAGTTGTTTAATTAATTTAAGGTCACACACAAAAAAAAAAAAAAAAAAATTCAAAATGAATAAAATCTTCAATCAAGGTGCCAGGGCTTTGAATATATTTAATAAATTATTGATAGTTTTGCAGAGAAGGACTTCATTTGCATATCACCTTGTGTATATCATCATAACAAACACCATAATGCTGACATTTAAAAAAATAATTTTAACAAAAGAAAATATATTACTAGTGATTTTTTATCAGAACCATTAAGATCTTGAAGGTTGTTAATGAAAAGATGAAAGCTTTTGATCAAAATCTTTTGTGAAATTCTCGCACAGAGTAAGCATGGACTGACATGCACTAGTAAGGATTCAGGGAAGATGAAATAAAATCATTTTGTTCATGACTTCTAATCATTGTGAAATTTATTGAAGTATGGCACCAATGCGTGCATGTGTGTGTGTGTGTGTGTGTATATATACCTATATCTATATAATAAATGCAAATGTCAGTGTGTCCAACTTTTTCAAATTTACTTCTAGGGGCCATAGCCCAACATATACCATTTTGGAATCAGGCTGACTGTGAGCAAATTAAAAATATTCTGGGCCAAATCTGGATCCACAATCCTGAAATTTTGGATTCCCAAGTTTTCATTACTGTGATTGTTTTCATGATTTTTTTTTTATGTGATTTTTTTTGCAACGCATTTTTTTGTACAGTAACAATTTTTATAACTTAGAAATAAATTTGGGAATAATTGATATTGATTGTGAAGTCCAGTGAAAATCACCCATGAAATAAAAATAATTGTTTGTATAGAAAGTAAGGCCGTACATACTTAAAATTGTCTTTAAATTAAGTGGCAGCAGAAGAATTATCGTTGAACTTTTAAAAGGTAAGCTTAAATATTAATACAATACTTAAATGCAGCGATCAATTTTGAGGTCTTCTGTAGTTTATTGTTGCCTATCACATCTACTCCTCCCTGCTTATTGTGATGAAGGCTCAATGAAGAGTCCTCTGCAGGAGCCAGCTTAAATGCCACCTGATAGGGTTGCTTTTAAACTATATATATATATATATATATATATATATATATATATATATAGTAATCTATGACAAAGTGTGACATGTTTCATCCTTTAGGACTCTATTAAACTAGTGATCCTACCACCAAGAAAAGAAAAGTGTGACCTAGTAGCCAATGTTGTAGAGCACTTAAATACCTGTAAGAAGTTCATCAGACCAATTGGCATGAAAATATTTGTAGAAAAAATAGAGGGGAACCATGGCAGTGAGAAAGTGACTGAAATAGAGATGCCATGTTAGGATCAAATACATTGCAGATTCTTCTTTGAATTTTATGAAAAATAAACTAAAAAAATTTAAAATTACTAGCATCTCTCATTCATGTGCAGGAGTTGTTGTATCAACGTAAACAAATTTAGTCCAATGAAGACCTGAAGGAACGCAAGCATTGGGCTCCAGAGGTGGGAAGTGTGAGAAAAGAAACAGAGTAAAAGCGGTGGTTGAATCTAGCTGGTTTAACAACAAAACAGTGAGACCTAAGTGCCAATCTAGTAACAAACTTAAATTCATGTAGTCGGGGTACAGAAAAAAAAGCTCATCACAACAGTTGCCATAAAAATATTTGTAAAAAATACGTAGAGAATCCATGAGAAAGTGACTGAAGTTGAGATGCCTGGCCAGAATCGATTACATTACAAACCCCTCTTTGGATATTGTCAAGAATCTCTAGATGTAAAGCAGGAGCACCAGACCAGATATGTCAATGGTATTTAATTCACAGGATGAATGATAGATTTATAAATATGCAAAATGGATTCTGATGAGGAAAATTATCTATATATCATATCTATATGACACAGTGAACCAACTTCCCTAGCAGTAGACCTATCAATTGAATCACTCCAATTCATGTTAGTAGAAAACGTGAGCTGAACAAGGAGCAAAGTGTTGCTCTCTTGAAGCTATACTGATGGTAGGTAGAAAAGGTTCTTTATAGAAATGAAAGCAGTTGTGTTTTGGAAGCATTAAAATTTACAAGCCATTCCTTACCCCAGTTAACCACTAATTGGAAGTCTTTTCCAAGAAGAGCTGCCAGAATTTAATTTACTAAAATAAAGCATAAGTTGTCTTATATAGCAATTTTAAATGATAATTAACAAAAACATAGATGACATAATGTAAGGGTTCAAATATTGAAGGTATCAGTGAAAGTATTAAATGAAGATTTTATTTTTATACAAGAAAGCATACCTTTGGAGATCCATCTTTGTGTATTCCAACATCGTTTGTTGCAACCCCTTTCACACTTCCATCTTCATTAAACAGGATCTATATAAGAAAAATAAAGTACCAAAATTATTTATATTTATTATTGCATTTGGTATAGTTTGAACTAATTTCCTCATTTTATTGATTATTTTTTTCTTACCCACAATGTTTTGGCATCTACTCACTCACTTTTCTTGGGTGTTATATTTTCAAATGTTGACCTTTGATCTGAATATAAAATAGTTACAACATATCTGAAAAGTTATTATTTAATTTAAAAAAAAAAAAAAAAAAAATGTATATTTAGAATAAAAAAAAAAATAAGATACCAAAACTGATGTCAGAACTTTTGATATGAGGAATTATTATACTGGGATACCCAGTGTTGCTCAGAAGATTTCTGAATAATAGTTTATCATTGACAATCTATTGATATTTTTCAGTCATCTTATGTAAAATAACTTTTTATTCAATCTTTAAAAAATAAATATCATTATTTTTTTCTTTTGCTACAAACTAAATTTAGGAAAATACTACACTACCACCAATACCATGCTGGTGGGGTGGGGGGTGTCTTTGTAGGCTGAGCATCCCCATATTTTTATTCAAAAAACCAATTTATTTTTAGATTTAAATACTAACATAAATACTCTGTTAATGTTGTTTTCAAACAAATCAAACTTAGATAAAAGTTCATTAACCTTTTTCAAATTATTGAGTAAATAAACTTAAATTTTGATATATTTAAACATTTAATCATTTTTTTCAGGCAATAAATATAGCAAATCTTACTTTGAAAAATAATTATTTACTATTTATTTTGGAGAGGAATTTAGATTTTTTTTTAATTAAATAAAGTTTTACTTTTAAACATTAAATTAGCAAACATTTCTCTGTAAATGAATTTAATTCAGTCGGTTATGTGCCATGTGGGATACACGATAAAGTGATCATGTATCTTTCGATACATGACTGACAAGGCAGATTTTTTCCCGCAGTAGTTGCCATTTCTTTCTGCAATAGACCAGTTGTCATCCAAGGCTATAGAACCCAGTCTGTCCTGTTACTTACCTATAGCTAGAGGGAGAAGAGGATTCATACCTTTCTCAAGGGTATTAGCATGTAAGTGAATGCAATGGATTCACTTGGCTCTCCGATTCCTCAATCTGAGCCGCTATCCATTACTCCACTGTGCCTCCATTTAATTACTATTTTGAAAGAGTAGAAGCAAGCAAGATACTTTTAAAATTTAGTTTTGACAAGCAATTGTTTAAATTTCAAGTTATATTTGTAAAGAAAAGAAAAAAAATTAGTTAAATAAAAATTGGGAGTGGTAGACATGACCTTTGGCCAGTATTAGTCATGTTGAAGGTTTTATGAATTTAACTATATTTTATTTAAATTAATTTTCGAAAAAATAAGGCTCACTATAGTTTTTTGCTTTAATAAAACTTAATTGAAAAGAATTTACTTTTTTTTTATGTTAGTTACAAACAAAAAAAAAACAATGAAGTTTAATCTTTAAAGATTTAATAAACTAATTATTTTCCATAAGATGTCCAAAAAATATTAATAAGTCAATAATACACACACAAACAACTACCCTTTAGGCTGATAATGAGTCTCTATATACAGGCAAACCTCTCATCAATGAACTAATAGAGGCTCGTTATTGCTGATTGTCTATAGATAAGAGATTATTTTTGAGTTATAAAACCACTATAGTAACTACCAGTAGTTATGATCATAATGTAAATACTATAAACATGTATATATGGCATAAATAAATATATACTTAATATATTAATCAAAATAAAAATAGATTTCTCAGAGCTGCTTTCACACGCATATGCTAATGTATCATACTTTCTGTCTTTGTTTACAATTGAAAGGCCAGCCACTGCCACCAAGTGGTCACTTTGAGAACTAATACGACTCATTCCACTAAGCCTGCAATTTTTGAAATACATCACTGACGATTTGGAAGTTTTTTGCCTGAAGATTTTGTCCGTTGCATCTGAAGTCCATTGATGGGTGGTTTCTTTGTATATTTATTTTGTAGCTGGACACACACACACTCTCTCAAATATTTCAATAAATAAATATTAAACACTTTTTCAAATAATTGTATTTAATATTCTTTTTTTAAATTTACTTTGTTGTTTTAATATTCATTTTTTAAAGTTACACTTTTATTTGCTGTAGATGTGAAAATCAATTCAAGAGAATAGAAATTTTAAAAATACATACTTGGATGGTGCTTAGCAGAAAAAAAATAAAAACAATCTGATTTGAGAATATGAATTCTTACTGTTTGTTTTTACTTTTTAATTCTGAGAATTTTGAATGCATTCTAAGGCATTTTAATTTTAAAATATCTTTGTAAATACAAATCATATTTTTTTTTACAAAAAACTGGCTTGGGTAATATTTACTTTGTCATAAACTATTGTACTTTTTTAATTTTAGCTGGACACACACACAGCTGCCCTTTATATATGTATAGATGTCTTTTCATGAATTTATTTTGGTTGTTATAAATACCACCTAGGTACAGACATTAGATTTAAGACAAGATTAAACAACTGGATTGTCCAAGAGACACATAGCCTAATGGTTCAATTTCAGGATGAGGTAATGCTAAAAAAATTTTACTCCAGAGGATTGATTTATATTTTTTATGGCTCATTAACTGTTTATGATTTATTTAAAGCCAAAAATTTCACTATAGTTCAAAAGTTTGAAGCCACCCCCAGAATTAGCATAGGATGAACTTGAGAGAAGAATGGAAAAAAATGAAAAAAGAGCTTTTAGAGTCATTGAAAAAAGAATGGAATCAATTATTAAACTTTGAGAAACTTTTGCAATGAATACCAAAAGATTTGTGCTGCAGTAACCGAGGCTAAAGAAAGATATTTTAGTGAGAGCAAAATTTAATTATAAAAATGTTTTTTTCCTTTTTACCATAATAAAATTTCTAATAAAAAATAATGTCTCACTTTTTATTTTTAACTATGTATAATAATTTTCTGTTATTTAAAGTACAAAGTACTACTTTTGAGGCCAATTTAAAAAATTGCCAAGGGTTCCTTCAAATCTTTGCACTGTAGTGTATTTTGGATTGTAATAATTCTTCTTTTGCAAGTAAATATTGCATTAACAATTTTTGTGAATAATGATTTTTTCCAGGTACAACTACTATTTAAATCATAACTGGGTGGATGTGGGGGGGGGGTATAGATTCATACCTATTCCAAGAGTATTTTCACATAAGTGAATGAAATTAACCTTGAAACTTGGTTCATCATTCTGAGTCACTATCCATTCTTCGTTACACTACCCACACATCACTAGTCCAGTGAAAGAAACACAAAGGTGAATAAGACTGATGAGTATTGATGGAAAAAAATATCTCCTAAGGAAAACTGAATAAGGACAGTCTTCTTCATAGATTGAATGTTTAATTACAGATTTTCAGAGATATGACAGACATTTGAATAAAGTGTTTACCTTACCTCTGAAAAATTCAGAAAATATAGCAGCTAAACATTGTGAATATAACAACTAAAGTATGACAGTCTGAACAGAAAGGCATATGTAATAAATGTTCATTGAAAATAATATGTTATAAAGAAAAGGTGGTGGTAAGTTGATTAGTTTTTAATAATTCCTATGTCTTTTATTTTATTTTTTTAAATCACAATATTTCAGTTTCTTTAGACTGGTCTTCCTCAGAATATATTAAATATACAATAGGTGGAGAGGAAGAAGTAATTAAATGTTAGTAAAATATATATCTAGGATCCAGTCAGTTCTGCTATTTACCCATAACTGGGGAGAGAAGATATAGAGTCATACCTTTTCCCAAAAATATTAGCTGTAAGTGAATGTAATAAAATTGACTGGAATTTGAACTTGACTCTGCAATTCCTCAATCTGAATCACTATCCATTACTCTACCATGCCTCTAAATAGTTATATTTGCTTTAAATTTACACAGGTGAAGTATTTTTCCACCATTAATTTTGTATATATTTTAGTCTACATTGTATATTTTAAAATATGTATTTCTTAGTAATTATTTATTTTTGATTAAAACAGGTCACACTGTAAATTTAAAGTCAATGTAAAGCATTGCAAAAAAAAAGATTAAATAAATATTTTACAAGTGTTCAAATAATTCTTTTCTTCAGAGTATACCAAAATGAAGATACTAATTTGAATCAGTCAATAAATAAGGACAATAATTCTTTTTAATGTAATAATAATATTCTGTGGATTCAGATATTTTCAACTTGTCAATTTCAAATTTGATTTTTTATCCATGATTTTTATATTGAGGTAACTATAATATTTATATACAAGTGTGTGACTAAGTAAGTCATTAACAAATAATTAAAAACAAAGAAACTAATTCAGTGAAAATACTAGAAAAATGTTCAAAATGAAAAGAATAAAAAAATTCTTACTTCACTTGCTGCTGTACCAGGATAAATTTCCACACCTAATTCTTCTGCCCGTTCCCCCAGCCATCGAACTACATTTCCAAGTCGTACTATATAGTTACCATGATTTACCATAGGCATTCCTAAATATGGAGACAAAAAAAATTAATAGACATGTTGAATAGGTCTTGCAATGCATTGATATTTGTATATTTTGTATAGTAGAGGGTATGGAGAAAGAAAAATGTTACAGCATATTGGTCACAACAGCTGTGTCCCCTGTCCCCCTAAAAAAACAGTACTATAATTGTGCTGAAAAAAAGAAAAAAACACTACAGAAAAGACATAACTGTACACCCCTCAAAAAAAAAAAAAAAAAAAAAAAAAAATGGTACTATAACTGTACTGAAAAAGGTACTGCAATTGTGTTGTAAATAAAAAAGATAAAATCAATGAAAGTGCTCCTCCTGCAAAAAGTATGGTACTATAACTGTACTGAAAAAGTTACTAAAATTATGCTGAAAAGAATATAGTACTGTAGCTGTACTGAAAGAAGAAACTGGTACTACATGTGTAATGAGAAAAAAAAATAGTACAACTGTGCTGGAAAAAATCAGATTTACAATTGTATTGAAACAAAGGACTCCAAATTTACTGAAATCGGCAAACAAAAAAAAAAAGAAAAAAGGGAAAAGGAAAAAAAAAATAACTGAAATGATAAAGTTTAAAAGAATAAAGATATGGCAACAGATCTATTTATTAGATTAGTCTAATCCATGATCTAATTGACAGAGTACAAACTGTAGACTGATATAAGTATCAATAGAACAAGACAATTCATTTGTTGGACTAAAGTAGATATAACAATGCCATGTACCTAAAGTACATAGGACAAATAAACACACTGGCATGTTAAATATCTACAGTTAGTGATCAATAATGATAACAGCATGAGGCTGTTTTGTCATCTTTTACTATTTGCAAATTATGCAAAATGTTCACTAATACCTCTCATATAAACTAAAATCACAACTTACCTGGTAAAACTGGAATTTTTACATATTTCTTTTCAGTAAGATATAAAAATTTATCTGTAGTCACAGGTGTTAGCAGTGGTGCCTACAAACAAGAAAAATGACATCTTTAAATTATTCAGAATATCATTGTTAAAGATACAGTGAATTTTGGATAAACATTCATTCCATAATTAATGTACTATTTTCTGAGAATACAGGAAGTAGAATATTGATAGAATATAAATAATTCATTTATTGTATATTATACTTGACAATGTGACCTGACTATCATTGTAGTATACATCAATGTTATAGTCCAAGGCACATGATCATGTACAAGTAAACTTGATACATTATTTCAATATGAAAATCAGATACATGGAAAAATATAACCACTTAATATTTTATGCATTTTATCAAGATTCTTAATAGAGGCAAATCATCTGTGCTTACTATTATTAATGGTCCTGATGTTATTTTGTCTCCATCAGACGAAGCTAAGATCTTTGCAATGAACTTTGTTCCAAATTTCAACCTATATGATGGGTCATCCTCTACCTGACTTCTCTCTTTTAATAGAGCACAAATTTTGTAACCTCAGTATCTCAGCTTGAGGAGTTATCAGACTCATCAAAAACCTTGAAGGTTACTAATATGGATAACATTGCTGTGGTTGTGCTTAAGACCAAACCTATCTCCAATCTTGACAAAATTGTTTAACGACAACCTGAAAGAGAAATCTTTTTCAAGTCTATAGAAATTTCAGCTGTCTACTTTGTCAGCAAGAATACTGGTAAGTGTTTATCTTTGTTGCAATATTACCTCATCATTCTTCTTAGCATCATTAGCAAATGCTTTGCGTCTATTATCAACAAGAATGAACAATCTTCTGAAGCTCACGAGATCTATGCCGCTGTTCCCTAAGGCCTGGTCATTGATCCTATCCTCTTTGTTTTTATTAATTATCTACTGGGAAACATTCTCATAGCATTACTAAACATCTATGTAAGTGATACTATAGTTTATAGAAACACTTCCAAAAAATCAAGATGATTAGAGCCTTACAGCTGATCTCTCATCTGACCTAGCTTGATGGGGGAAAACTGGTTTGTAACTTTCAATACTAAAAAACAAAGTTAGTATAGTTTCATCATAATTGATCAGATGATTTCACTAGCCACAAAACATATTGCACTCAACAAGGATTCATACTTTGAATATAATCAAGATGTTGACATTCCACACCTGTTCAAATAAAAGGTTCAGAAGAAAACACGTATCGGTACTGGAAAGAGATATAAAATTTACTGGAGTTGACAAACCTGTTTTTCTAAAAAAAAGTGTATTAAAAGAAAGATTTTTATAAATTTCAACTGTAAACAGTACTTGCTACTTGGTCAATGAATGCTAAATGTTTCCTTGTAGAGAAATGACTAATATTACCATTAGGTCTTAAGTTCACTCCAAACCTCAAGATGCTATATGATGTAATCTAGGGTCTAACATCTAAATCTTTTCAATTAACTTGCTGTATATTCATGAGCATCCTTAAATTTGAAAATTTTGTTTAACTGTCTAATATATACTTGTTGCAAAATAAAACCATTACATTTGCCTTGATAAAATCTATTGAATGATGAAACACATCAGCTGAACTAAGTATAGTTTCCCTATTGTCTTTTCATTCATACAATCCATTATTAAAGATGCTAGAAAAGTGGTTGGCCCCTTCTACCATCTCAGAAAAAAAAGTACCTGACACTTTATCTTTACAAGAGACAGAGCAAATGGAGTATTGCGGCCATATCCTGGCTGGAGCTGCTCAATCCTAAAAAAATTCAAAATTGTTTATGTGGTCATGTGGGTGATAACTTAAGAAAAGAGGATCAGACTACTGATGTGAAGCTTGGTTTTGATTAACATCAAAATTTTTTTTTAATTGATGGGCCAAAATTCTTTCATTTTCTGATGTTCCTTGGTTTTTCATTTTTTTTGTTGTTTATAGCAGAAGTTTAGCATCATGCTTGTCTTATTTTGGTAGATTTTTAGTCACAATAACTAGACATGTAGACCAGCAAACGTCTGCTGTTTTGCAGCTGTATTCAGTCTTTTCTTCTTACTCTTTTTTTGAAGGTTGCCCTATATTATATATTATATTGATAGAGATATATATATATATATATATATATAAGCAAATATATGGATATAGATCCGACAGTATGAAAGAAAAATACAGAAATACAGTGTTTTTTCTGTATTTTTCTTTCATATATATATATATATATATATATATATATATATATATGTCCTAGACATTGAGTTCTACCTGGATCCTTCCTTTTGGAAAAATTTTTTTCTGAAAATATACATGTATGGGAATTTTTAGATATATTTTTCATATGTATGTATATTTTCCACTAATATAATCTATATATATATATATATATATATATATATATATATATATATATATATATATATATATATATATAGAGAGAGAGAGAGAGAGAGAGAAAGATATATGGGTTTTTAAAAGAAAATAAATGCCATGAATTGATTTTTTGCTCATTTATGTATTTTAATTTACATTTGGCTCACCAGAAATGAATAGAAAATTTAATATGTTTGTGAACAAATCAATGGGATTTGTATATAGGAAAATTAATCTTGTGAGAAAAATAAAATAATGTAATAAGCCAAGTAAATAAAGCCAAAGAAAATAGTGAATACTTATAATTAAAAATATTATTTAAGTGTTAAGTTTAGAATTTAATTAAAATGTTATTAAGATATTTAACCAGTATCTATTTTAATATTATTTTAAGTATTATCATAGCTATAAAAGTTGATAGGTCATAAAAACTTATTTTTTGATTAATCAAATTGGATTTTGATATCATAACCACTTCAACAGTTCTAGGTGATATATGATGGATAGATATAACCATTTTTGCAATTTTAAAATCAAAAGGATGATTTGTATTTTGTATATAGGAGAATAAAGATTTTTATGTATATCCAATTGTTAGAACTTTTTGTGTTTGTAAATTATTTTTAAAAGAGTTGTCTCACCAAAATTAGAATATATACAGAACAATATTAATAATCAGGGTTAAAGCTGAAATTTGTTATTGATTTTATTTTTATATTATTACTTGGTTAATATAAGCAAGCATAAATACATTTAATGTTTTTTGGATGTAATATTTTTAATTAATAAATTTTAGGCATTTAGAGAAAATATTAGAATGTATTTTCTTTAAAATATCCATATAATTTTAAAAATTATCATAGAAAGTACAAATAAAAATTAAATCTTTTTTTATTCTTACAAGTCCAGAGGAAATTTTGAATCATACAAAAATGTACAATTATGAATTAATTGATTATTAATTTTGTAAATTATAAATGCCACTTAGTTCTATACAACAAAAACTGGAAATAAATTAATTTAAAAAAATAGGTTATAGTGACCTATTAACATTTGTTGAATAAAAAAAAAAATGAAAAAAAAAAACATTTGAAACTTTTAAAAAATATATATTTTAATTTTGGTAGATTAAAATGTAAGAGAAATAAATAATGCCATCTATTAAAATATGTCACAAAGAATATTTAAGATATTACTTGGATGAAATATCTGAAGTAAAAATATTTCTGAATAAAGTTCTATATGCATTTTAAAAAATAGATTTTCAATTTTTTAATACAAATACAACTTGTAAAATAAATAAAATACAATATTGATAATGCACATTAAAAACATTTTATTTCTTTTATCTAAAGTACAGAGTGGTCCAAAAGTCTTGTCATGCCTACATAATGTAATTTTCTATTTCAAATAGCTGACACAAGTGGTAGGGGATGATAAGACTTTTGGACCACCCTGTATAGATAAAACAAGTAACAATTTTTAAAAGAAAAAAATGTCACAAAGAAACATTTTTATAGGAAAATATCTGTTTATTTAACACCAAGAAAAGACATTTACTGCATATACAAAAAAATAATCACATTTAAGATTTTATTTATATTAAAAAAAAAAAAAAAATCCATTTTCAGGGTTAACAGACTTGCTAAGTTTCTGAATTCTTTAGGAAGGATATTTCTTCATTTGTGACACCATTTAGTAACATCATGGTTACTGATGAGGGAAAGTTTTCAATTTTATTTCTCAAAATGACGTTTCCCACAGTTATTTTCTCTCTGCTATCTTATTTGTTCAAAATGGATGTTTTCTTCCAAATTAAATTTGCTGTTCTGAGTTCATTGAAATAAAGAATTTTTTTTAAAGTAGTGTAAACTATGCCTTCATTTCATATTCACAAAACATTTTCAATATTTTGTTTTAGTAAAATGTGGGAGATGAATTAAAAAAAATTCCTCATATGTTGGAGAGGGTGAATGGCAATAATAGCACAAGTGAAAAAAAATGGCATGTTAAAAATGGACTTTTTAAACAGCTTAAGATTAAACAGCTACTGATGTTTAATTTTAAGCTATATAAAGTTAAATTTCAAATCAGAGGACAGTCTGTTTATTTACTTCTGGTAAAGTGTCTGGGAACCGTCAAGTACACATGTCAAGTGGCTCTACCACAACCTCATCATGGAAGATTGATTTCAAGGATACATGTATAGAAAACATTATAATATCAATTATTATTAGATGGAGATCTTCCTATTTTACTACTTGTGCCATTATTACCTAAATTCAGGAGGGAAATGATAACAAGCCTTACATGTAGGTGACTTAATAGTACTAGTTAAAGAGAATTATTAAACTTTTGATCGGTGGTGCAGCTGGGGGGGGGGGACCGCTCTTGGTGCCAGCACAGGAGGGGTGACACAATGTTACCCCCAACAAAATTTTTCAACCAGGCTAAGGTGCCAAACATAGTCTGAAAATAGTGGTGGAGACACAGGGTTTCGCAGACTGGCATATGACCCCACCCAGAAATAATTTATGACCCCTCAGTTTTGTTCCCCCGTCAGAAATTTTCTAATAAATTGTTGGGAAAAATAGCAATGTTTTCAGCTTTTGATTTGAACTGAGTAACGTACAGGTCAGTAGAGTAAAGTAGAGGTAGAGCATGTATGAAAATTTAGCTACAGCTAACCATTCAGCATAGGGTGAATCGGGGTCATTAGGGTGACATTTGAGCGGACCGCCCCGGGTGACGTTTACTCTAGCTACGCCACTGCTTTTGATGACAGTTGTTTTCTTTAAAAATTTTGCACTCTGATTTATAAAATCTCTTGAAAGTATTTAGCAACAATATACTTTCAAGTTTGCAATAGTAAACATTAAAGCATTTTGATAAAATGAATATATAAGATGATTTTTAAAAAATTGACATTTAGACCTTATAATTTTTTTGTTGAAATTTCTACAGAAGGTCCTTGGGTTATGTTGGACCTGATGTATTTCATGGTTATGGTGCTATCTCCTATAATATAACGCATCATTATGTGGTGCTATATGTTTGTGGAGTTTTTGGTGGAAACTTTTTGCCATTTATTATGGCTCCCACTCATGATGTAGGTAAGTTCTGACCTATATGTTGAAAACCAGGTTATGTCACACCGTAAGAATGGATCTCTGACATAAGTCAAAGACCCCTGTACTTGCAATCATAAGTTCTATGCCAATGGTTTCTTCTCCCACACTTCTTGAAGAATTCTCTTCCAGTTTACAGCTTTCCCATCAACTTCAAAAATTTAAATGTAATATCAATTGTCACTTTTGTTTTTCTTGAAGCCAATTCTTTTATTGTCCTCTACTTTTTTCACTATCACTATCCCCTTGCATCCAGTGGCTTTTATTGTCTTTGAGAGAATGAAGCATCCAGATTCTTTGAGCACTGTAGAATGGTGCTACAGAATGGCCTTTAAAGAGCAGCAGCAACTAAAAAGCAATTCACAGCTACTGGATTACAGATACCTATTTTTCTGAAAAAATGTTTTAAGAGAGAAACTTTAAACCAAAAGTATCATTAGCTGCTTGGTCAATGAATGCTGAATGTTTCCTTATAAGGAAATGGATAATATTACCATTATCATTGGGGGATGGGGTGAAATGATTAAAAAAACTAGAATGGAAATATTTTAATTCTTTGATAAATTGAGGCTATTATATTTTAACATACTTTTTTTTTCACATAAACAATTCTTTAATATCTAAATATTTTATTAAACAATATTTTCTCTAGTCTTTTAAATGATGGTAGAGTTATAAATTTTAAATAAAGTTTTTTATAACATTAAGATTTTAGCAACTAAGTTTCTTTTCTTATATGCAAAATATTGAAAAATTAATAAAATATATATTTTTGTATTATAATATATTAGGTTATATAAGAAAGATAATTTAAACAAAAGGACAAAAGATTAGGATGTGACATTGTTTAAAGATTACTGGATAGGGAAATGGGGGTCAGCTGAAAATTTGTATATTCATTTCATATCAGTTTGATACCCTGTTTTGCTGATGGCAAGATAATATTTCAAATCTAAATTGTTTGTCCATTTAAAATACTAGATTTATTAGAAAATATATTCAATTTAAATACAGAAATAGTGATAAATGAAATAGTCTTCAAAATGACAAACTCTTTTCCCCAAGTGTTGTAAGTGAAATTAGCTCTTGCAACACATATCCATTTCAATTTCATAAAAAAAGAAAAAATTAAAAAATTATTCTATTTATTAATGATTAATTTCTAAATATTTCAGTAAAATCTCATAATTATCTTTTTTATTATATTTTGTTTCCAATTTTATGATTTTATTGCTCAAACCAGAGTAGGGGTTGTCCAGACTGAGTGAGAGGAGAATGTATTATTCCAATGTCTTAATAAAAGTGTGTGTATATACATTAAAATGGTAAAAGTACATGTAAGTCACTCACACACAAAAGACATATGCAAAAATCACATGCAGATTGTGTGATAGACTGAGAATCTATTCTTTTATTATAGATTAATGTTCTTAGAAAAGTTATGAATCTATCTCTCTGTGTACTCAGGCTCCCATTACAAGAAGACTAGTCAAAAGGTCTTTAACTTTGGCAGTCCAGAATGGTTGATGGAGAAAACCGCAATAAGGTACTAATACTAGTACCATGGAATCTAGCATTTCTTGACTTCAGTAATCCAGCATAGCATGTGAATTATTGTTTAGATTATTGATCAATGAGAAAAAATATATAGTGATATACAGATTAAGAGATTTGGGAGTAAAATTAGTTTTCATACTTTTTATGGATTTGCAGACAAAACAAGTTCAAAGTTAATTTTTAGGTAATTTGAAACATGTAAGTATTTATAGAGAATAATTGTAGAGAAAAGATATTTTCAACATAAATAACTAAGATTTTGTATAAGATTAGATTAGATTATTAGTCGTAGTAGTAGACATCATCGTGGTAGTTGTAGTAGTAGTGATGGCATCATGGCTTAATGGATAGTAACTTTAAATGAGAAATTGGGGAGCTGAGTTTGAATTCCAGTTGAGTTCATTACATTCACTTATATGAAAATACTCTTGGGAAAGGTATGAATCTCTCTCTTCTTTCCATCAGCTATGAGTAAATAGCAGGACAGACTAGCTCCTTAGCCTTGGGTGGCAACCAGTCTAGGACAAGGACAACTCTGAATTCAATACTCGAGTTGGTAACTAAACTGACTTCACTACCAGACTCTGGTCTGGTAATAAGAGTAAATGGAACTCCAGCAACACAAAAAAAATAAAACAAAAGGAGCAAGTTAACTCTTCAGAATCAATGGGGATCCACCCCAACTATGGTTTAAAAAAAAAAACAATTGTGGTGTGGTAACTACAAATACACCCCTGAAAACATGGTCAATCAAGGAAGTGAGTAGGCTTTTGTTTTTGATGATTAAAAAAATTATATACAAAAACATTTATTCACTAATAAATTTCCCAGAGTGTATTTTTTTTAATCATTTCACCCCAAGCAAAGTAATAAAGCCACTAAGACTGAAAGAATATGAGAAAAATATTACTGAGGATAATAAAAGGACAGGATTTAAAGTGACAGATGATGACTGACATTGCATTTAAATTTTTGAAGATCGTAGTTGATAGGAAAGTAGAAGCTGGAAGAGAATTCCACAAGTGAGAAGTGTGAGAAATTATCAACATAGGGCTTATGATTACATATAACAAATTCAACTGTAAAATGATGAGACCTAGCTGCCAATATAGTAATGCACTTAAATTTGTGAAGTCAAGGTATCAATGAGGAAAGCTCAGTAGAATAGTTACCATGAAAATATTTATAGAAAAGATATGGGGAAGTTATGTTATAGTGGTGGGAGTGTTACTGAAACTGAGATGCCAGGTCAGGACATTGCAGATTTTTAAAAAAATCTTGTCAAATATCTTTAGATACACAAAAGCAGTACCAGACCAGATGTGTTAGTAATATTCAATGCAGACTTTAAAAGGTGTAAGATAGATTCTGGTGAGAAAAATTGTCTAGAATGACACAGTGAACCAACTTTTCCTAGCAGCAGACCTAGCAATTGATTCTACTACATGTCAAAATATGAAATTGAGAAGATAAAATGAGTTACTCTCCTAGAGGGCTAGCATCAACTATACTGACAGAAGGTAAAAAAGGTTCTCTAAGATGATTAAATGAGAGTAGTTTAATTTTGGAGATGTTAAAATTAACAAGCCATTTCTTGCTCCAGTTAAGAAGTGATTGAAGATAATTTTTGAGATTAGGGCTTAATTAATTTTTCAAATTTTGAATCTAGTTTCTAACCCATGGAATATATATTTAGAAAAGTGCAATAGTTATTCACATTATTTATTCACAAGTTGGAAAAATAAATTATGGGAGATGGATGAAGAAGGAAAAGTGAAGAAAACATTTTTATGACTTACACCACGTTCTTCCCAATTTGGAAACAATTCATTTAAGGCTCTGGGTTCAAGGCAAGCCCCAGACAAAATATGGCCACCTGAAATTAGGAAAAAATAATTAGTTATAGAAATGGGTTTTATTTCATGCAGAGATAATTATTATCAATAATTATTTTAGAAATTCAATTAAAACCAACTGGGAAGAAACAAAAATAGAATCAATACACTCATAAAATTTTCACCAAGCTTTTATACTTGGTAGCAAATAAATAAATCATAAATAAGATACAAAACAATTTTTTGGCAGGACTTGCAAGCTATAAATAACTATAGTTACAGAAAAATGGTCGCTTCCCTGTACAGCACTAGTAAGTACTGGATTCCTTGTGCTATTCTCTACCTTTACAAGAGCCAGATGATCAGGCCTAAAACAGAGAACTGTTGACATATTTGGGTGGTAGGTGCCCAGTGCTCACTCTCTAGTCTGAATAGAGCCCAAAAGCATCTCCAAGTCCTTGTGGTTGATAATTTATTTTCCACTCTCCAATATCCCCTCTCATAGGCAGGATGTGGGGTAAGCTGATCAGAACTCTCACTCTCTCTACTGTCATTGAAAGGCACAAGTACAAACTCTATTTATACAAGATCACTAAGTATGTTATGTATTGTTTTCCTCGGGGATCCCACAGATCTATGCAAAAAAACTCCAGGAGATTTTCAGGACTATGTTAAGAAGTTTCAAGGATTGAAACACACACACACACACACACACACACAGACAGACACTCACACAAAGTGAATGGTCATCAATTCCAAAAACACAAACTTTGTGATTTATCTTTTAATTGTTTGACATATGAGAGGTTCAAAGAAAAGCTACAGCTGGTTCCAATAATTCATATCATACAGATCAGTTGAAAGCAGTGAAGAAATCAAAGTGTTGAAGGCTAAAACATAACAGAATGTTAACCTGATCATGTTAGAAATTTTGTGTAGCATTCCACAGTCTGGAGTTCTACTACACTTGAAAATTTTGAATTACACACTTTAATTCTTACTGCTACATATTTCAACTATCTACACTACTCATGGTTTGTGAATGTCAAAAACTCTTAATTGCTACACATTTCCTGTGAAGTACCATTGTTTTAATGAACAGAATTACAAATAGAAATTTTCTCAAAAAGACTATACATTTTAGCTACCCCTACTACTCATGGCTTTTGTTACACATGGCTCAGAACACAATGTTAAAATTTTTTTCAGTTCATCTAGTTTAGTATTCAGCTTCTCTTCTAATTTTGATGTCTATGTGTCATTTGCAGATCTTTGCATGGCATTGGACATTGCAATAAGTGTGAAGTTCTGAGACTACTTAGCTTTCTCTATATAGCTGTCTGCTGACCTGAGCAAATCTTGTGTGCAACTTTCAAGCTTGTGTTTTTTGGTCTTCAGTTCTTCAGTTTCCATAAACATGGATTTCCATTTTTGTCAAGCTGTTTCTACCTACCTTTTTTCTTCTCAGCTGTTCTGGCATTGGAAGCACTGGTGAGAAGTGCTAAGTCATGGGAACATTCCCAGTACTTTCAACTGTGGCCAAATAGTGATAAAGCACTGTGCAACCAGAGTTTGCTGTTTCATATTGTCAGTGGAAATTTCTTTATTGACTGAGAAACCTATCTCCACTGAAGCTTGTCTATGAAAGAGTAACAACAATCAGTGAAAAACTTTCCAGTTTTTTATATTCTTTATTGCTAGACAAAGAAGAGTAGAACAAAGTGTCCAAACAGTCTTCATGCTTGTTGAAATTCAGCCATGCAAATGATCTTACAAAAGGATATCTTAGTGGAGACTTTGCCAGAAGTTTGTCAATGATGGTGATGTCTGTTACAATTCTGCATGCAAACAGATCTTTTGATGACACATTTTCTTTTCTGGATAAATTTTGCATAGCTCTATCTGCCAGAAATCCAAACTCGATCTTTGCAGCATCTTTGTGTATGTTTTAGTCTGACAAAATTCTTACAAATTCATTCAGTTTGGAAAATGTAATTATCTTTATAGTGTGCTCTTCCTTTACAAATCTTAAGTTTCATGATCATACTAAAATAGGGACAGCCACTAATTTTTGATGCCTGAGGTTTAAAATGAATTTTTAAAAACAAAACAATCTTTCTTAAAGTTTTTATTTTAGCTTTAATTGAAAGCTAAAGGATTAAATTAACTATTTCCAGTAAGTGAAATACTTTGGTGTATTCCAAACAAAAATTATATTGATTGGAATTTATTTGCTAATAGATTTTTAGTCATCTTATGGATGGATTGATTACATCTGCAAATTTGCATAGTAAAATTTACCACATATTAAATATTTATTATATATAGGTTTACCAGACCAAAATACAATTATCTCATTATCCACTAATTCAGTTATTAGCCAACAAGTCTTTTGCTAGTCAATAAATGCTTGAAATCTGATAACAATGAAAAATATATTGCCATAATTTAGCTATTGACATGTAACCCTGAAGCTAAAGAGTAAAATATCTTGTGATGAGTGATTTCACGACACTACTGAATAGTCCAGCAAATTAACTTGTTAACCACTACCCTATACTAGGTATCTGAAATACAGGTTTAGCCAAAAATTTAAAAAATAAAAAGATAATTTTCTATTTTTTACCATAAACTTATTGAACAAGATATTTAATATTTTGTGTTACTATCTTATGACAGTTTTCTAGCAACTTTTGAATTCCACTCAAATTGGAGAGCTGAGTTCCCATTCTAGTTTAGTACACTGTATTCACTTACACGCAAATACCATAGAGTAAGGTATGAATCTACTTCTTCCCCAGCTATCGGTTAATTAGTAGGACTTGTATCAGTGAAATATTACCTCCTAAAAATTCTTAGGCTCTAAAAATATTTTCTGGCTTTAAATAACACACAAAAGGTTGATAAAATACAAAAAAAACAAAAAACAAACAAACAAAAAACTCACTGTCAAAAGGACAGTTATTCCCTTGACACCACTATTACCGCATACATTTCTGACTCCCTTGACAATGCTTTAAAAGTGATAAGAATTTTAATAAAACTAAAGTAATTTATACCTTTTCTTTATTCTTGAGAATTGAAAACAACATTTTATTTATTAGATTGCTTATTTATAAGAAATTTTTATTTAAAAAATTATAAAAATGTGAACTATAATGAATTATTATTAATTATTATTATTCACCATTTTATAAAGAAATAGTGAATTTTTTTCATAAATTTATAAAAATGTCTGAACAAGAAAATTTTAATAAATGCATAATGACAAGTAACTGATTATAAATTTTTTTTAAAAAAAAAAAAAAAAAAAAGTATTTTCTGAGAATTTCTTTCATTTGATCTCACCACATAAATTCACTAAAATAGGTTGGGAACACGTCTTCCTCTTACATATTTTGATAATTTTGCAATTTTAAAAAATATATTTTTCAATAAAAAGATTCCATTTCAAACTTATTTTTTATAAAATGGTAAATAATAAATATCACATTGTACTTGGTTCATATATTTTTATAATCTTTTAAACAAACATTGCTGAGTGAATCAAAAGACTGCTACAATAATAGCAGTGTCAAGGGAATAACTGTCTTGATAGTTTTTTTTGCAGGCATGAAAGACTGACAATTACCTGACTTGCATTATAACTAAATTTTCTGGGTTTGCTTACGATTTTTAAAAATTCTTCCTTTTATATTCAACTTAAGTAGAAGACATAACATATATAAATGCTGTTTGTTAAGGGTTCATTCAAATGTTTTAATCAAAAAGTGGTAGAAAAAAAAAACATAAAATGGTCTTGCTTTGTTTATTAAAGCAAAAGCAGCTCTTAACTAGATCCTAAGGAATGTTTTTCAAATTTAGAGATAAATAATGTAAATATCTAAATGTAAGTCTTTCAACCATCTTTTAGGTTTCATTCACCATTTGGATGATGAAATTCATGTCCTGAGTAGTTTTCTTCTAAGTGGAAGAGGCAGGCCAAAGAAGACCTCAAATTCCTTGCAATGTATGAAAAGGTTGCTGATAAAGTTAAAAACTCTGTGATGAAGGGAATAGACATTACAGTGAAGCATTTTAAGCTTTTAATGAAATATATAAAGAAAAAAAGCAAAGAAAAAAAGCAAAGAAAAAAAAGACTCTCAGAAGCGCTGAGTATTCAAACAATTTTAGCATTTCTGATGAAGAACAACAAATTCAAATGACCTTCAGTTATGAGTACTAAGACCAGTGGATAGCAGTATACCATTACTCCTCTGGCTAGTGCTGCAATCAAAATTTTACTTCCAACCAAAGCCAGAAATGATTTTTGATTGCCTTTGTTGGATGATATTGCACAAGTTGTCTTTAGATGGGTCTTTGAGATAATATCACTTTCAAATTATGATAGGATATATAGCGTTCCAGAAATATTGGCTATAGAAAAATTCAGACTGCAAATTGCCATATAGAAAAGGAAATGCAGGCAGACTATTTAACTGTCCAGAAAATCTTTTTTATCAGTTCCAATAAATTTTTATTTACTTTAGTTTTATTAGTTTGAAGTAAATGATTTTAAAGCTTTACAATAAGCACTTGTTTGAAGGATTAGTCAACGGTTCATTTAATGAAAAAAAAAAAAAAAAAAAAAAAAAACACATTTTGTAGTAATTACTGTCACTATTTCAAAAGTTAAAAATTGTATAATTCCATAAAAAACTTCCAAAATTAGATAGATACATCTTTGACAAAATGTATTCATATTAGAGAGGAAAGAACCATTTTGTTAGATTCCTCATCCCGAAATCAGTAAAGTTTCAGGTAAATGAACATTTTTAATGGCAAGTTGATGATGGCATATTTTTAACCCATTTTCCCCTGATGTCAAATTATTCTTCTTGTTTTTACATGGTGTCTGAACATGTGAGCAATGACAAAGTTTTAGAGAAAATGGAAACAAAAAGGACACTTTTACTTAACATCAGAAAGACAGCTGAAATTTTTAGTTTGTATAATGAGGAAAGATGGTTTGGAAAATTTGACACTCACAGGACATACTGAAGGAAAGAGGAATAGGAAAACAGCATGTAACCTACCTAACAAGCTTGTGTAAATGGATGGCAGAACAGGGTTTAGGAGAGATAGCAAAAAGACAAAATTTACTAAGAGCTATACATTACAGAAAATTGTAAAGAGCCATGGCACATATAAAAGGAAATGAGTTTTTTTTTATTGATGTAGTTTTATTTTGGGATACCTAATAATATATTTTATGAAGTATTTAAAAATTAAGAGTGATGGTCAAACATGATTATCTTTTCCAACTAAGTCATAAAATTTAAAAATAGATATCTAAAACTTTTCTTTTTAAAATGTTAGAAATACGATTAACTTACAAAGATGCATTATAAAATTTCACCAGATTTTGTTGGTTGAATTGGATTTTGTATTCTTTTTTAGTGGGGAATAATTCAAAGAGTTTATGTTCTGTTAAAATAATATCAGTGTAATACCATTGTTTAATACCAATATTTAACAATAATGGTAATTATTAGCAGTTTTCTTATAAGGAAATTTTTGACATTTATTGACTGAGCAGCCAGTGCTATATTCAGTTGAAATTTATAGAGCCTTTCTCTTAAAACAAATTTTCAAAAAACAAGTTTCCCTGGTCTGTTATTGCTATATTATTTTTTGTTTGAAGTAATATAAAATGTAAATATCTTGATATTATTTTCTGACTTACATGCGCTATCCATTTCAGTTGTTAAAGCTGTTGTAAGTCCTCAAGTGATGTGGTTTCAGTTATGTAGTTCATTTCTTTGTGATTTTGTACAACCAGTTCACAAGGTTCAAAAAGGATGTTCCTTGCTAAAACCTAGTTTATTTATTGGTAGCCATTTTTAACCATTGACCTGAGAAAATGGTTGTATACAACTGACAGTTTAGATATTTCTGAACAAGTTTGGCACCAGGAATGACATCCATATGAAAGTCTTGATCTTACAAAGCTACTTAAAAACATGACTTGAGTTTTTAGGTTAATGTTTTGTAGCAGTTTGTGATGTTGAGTGAAAACTACATCTGGCACAGGCCACTCTATATTCAATTCTTTATTACCTATACTAAATTTGTTATAAGTGATTCATACACTGAGGTATTTGAAGTGTTTAGTATTTAATAATGCCACATCATTAATTTTTATGAGGAATTCAGGATATGTGCCATCACTGCTTTCATTCCAAATCATAGTTTCTGTTTTGGAAAGGTTTATCTATAGTCCTATTTATTGGAATACTTGGTAGAAGATATTGATCTTTTGTTCAATACCCAATTATGAATACTTATGTAATCAGCACAGTCACCTCATCTGTACATTGGCCTTGGGAGAGAAATCAGGAATGCCGTTTTCTATTAGTAAATTTACTTGGTATGTGGAATGGAATGCTTAAATGATCAGTGCTCATCTCTTCACATCTGTGATTGTATATGCACAGGGTATAGTCAAGTAAAAGATTAAATAGATTGCATCTCTTATTTCCTTGTACTCCTGATGAGGTTTGAAATGTTTTGATATTGGGATCCTTGCCAGAGATGTATGACTGAGGACTGATATAGTCTCTCTATCGGATCAAGACATTCAGTTGAGTCAGAAAGCAGTTTCTAATGGATGAGAAGAGGAAGTCTATTGATGTGGTCATATGCTGCTGTGAGATCAATATAGCAGGTACACAATTTTTTATTTGAGAGGTTTGAAATTTTCTAGAGCTTTTGATGACCTATATGGCATGATTACACCCCTTACCAGAACAAAAGTCAAAGTGGATAGTGACGAGCTGACTTTCATAGACTGGAGAAAGATTAGTTAATATAATGTTCATTAGTACTTTTATCATAATGGATTCAATTAAGATACCTCTGTATGTATGTGAGCATTGTGAGGACTATCTTTTGTTTTCATACTGCATTAATGGAGGATATACCTTATTTACAGGGGGTTGCATTTTGGATTCATGATTTAATTCATGAAATTGAGAAACTTGAACTATAGAAAATTCAAGGAGAGGGAATGTTATTTTCAAAAGTTCAACAACAATGTGAAGGTATATATTATTAGTCTTCAGTTTTTTTTATAGCTATCTTGACTTCCTCATCACTAAGTTCATTATTGTTTACATTTGGAGAAAGACTTTGTAATGATTGCAAGTTTTGATTGGAGGATGCCAACATGATTTTTCACTTTTCTCCATATTTCACTATAAAAAGTCTATGTTGTTTTGTTTCATTAATTTAATTTCCAATTTTCTGAAGATATTGGTTTCTCAGAACATGTTTAATTGTTTAGTATTCACAGTTCCATTTATCTTCCTATTCTGTCTGTTACTTTCTTGTATCAATCTTTTTAAATATTGATAGTCATCCCACAGGAGTATCTTTTTCCTCTCTAGGTAGACTTGGAATGATACCATGTGCTTTGGCAAAAAAAAAAAAAAATTCAATTACATTATTTGATCTCTCCTTGTTGATTTGGTCAAGATTTGAGGACATCAATTTGGACTGTACTTATACATTAATTTTTAAGGGCTTGGATGCTATACCAAAGAGTCTTTTGTGATTTACATGAGCAGAAGGAGTCTGTAATTACATTCAAATTAGGAATTGTATATTTTAACATTTGTCAGAAATTGTGTAAGCCAAGAGTCCAAGACGTTGAAGTTAATAATCTAATGCAAATGTGCAATATGCTTTAAAAAAAAAACAAAAAAAAAAACAATGATAACCACATGTGGCATGCAGATATTTATATAAATTAAAGATATGAAGTAATATTTTTATAATAAAAACATAAGTACTAACCAATTTCTGCTGCTTTTTCAACTACACAAACTCGTAGTTCCATATTATTTTCATTTGACAGCTGTTTTAGCCGACAGGCTGCAGCAAGACCAGAAGGTCCACCCCCAACAATCAAAACATCGGCTTCATCAACAAACCTTTCCATGTCTATGTCTATAAAACAAAAAGAGAGAGAAAAAAAAAAATGAAAATTTAAAAACAAAATGAAACAATTCATACTAATACAAAATTATATTGAAACATGAACTTTTTTCTAGTATTCTACTAAAGAAAAAAAAAAAAAGACTTGTACCAATGACAACTGATTATTAAAAAGAAAAAGTATAATCAACCAATTGCTGATACCCACTGACAAGTGGATGGAGTGAATCCTGGAGCTTTTGTCTATGATATTTTGGAGTCAGTTGATTGATATTATCTTCAGCACCCTAAGTGACAAGACTTTTATTTAAATTAATTCTATATATACAAAGGATGAGCAAAAATAATTATAAAATTGAAATTTTTACAAGCTACATTTACAAAATGAAAACTTAAAATAAATTCTTTTTTGTTTAGGCATTTCAAACTGAGAATTGGGAAATTTTTGTTTGATGCAATTTTGACAACATATCTTGTCAGCTGTTCCAGAACAATCATTGCTTTTACTGTTCAACTAATTGCTTTGATTCACTATCCAATTCTCTGCCAGTAATAGAAATACTGCCAAAGTCTGTTTACTTTAGAGGCTATCTTAATATGGTATGCAGATTCAATTAATACTTTGCAACATGACAAGAATTAATAGAATCTGCCTACCATATTAGGATAGTATTCAAAAGCAGTTCCACCTTAAAGAGAAGCCTCACTGGAGCCAATCCTCCTTTAACTAAAAACATTACCAAGAACTGCATGTACAGCATTTCATGAAGTTGCAATATAGAATTTAAAAGCAAAACTAGTCAGTAAAAAAGTAAGACTAGATGAACATTAAATATCTAAGGCCTGTGAAGTCAGGTACACAGTTTTTGTTTATTAGCAATGAGTAATTTTAACTGAGCCTTGTTATACTTAATTCTCAAGTTTCATATTTAAAACTTGAAAAGTGAAATTTTACTTAAAAAGACCCCCCCCCCCAAAAAAAAACCCTAAATAAAAAGTCGGATTTAGATGTACATAATTTTTGTTTTTAATTTGAACCTTGTCATGCTTATATGCTTCATACCCCAAAAAGTGTATGGTTGATCATATTCAGAGGAAAAATGGAAAGTCATCAATTATTATCAAATGATGAAGTCAGAAGAGACAGACTACAATATTAGTGAATAAGGTGATTAAAAAAAAAAAAATCAGTGAACATATTTCTGATAACTTATTCAGTAAGTCTGCCATATTGTTGAACACATTAAAAGCTTTTTATGAGAAAAGAACAGACATCAGGTTTAAAAATCCAAAATTTCACTAGTTACAACAATGGCTAATTGAATACAAGCACTGGTTAAGTATATGCATTTTATCTGGTAGTCATGAGTTCAATTGCTGGGCCAGTCAATGAAATTTATATAATCTATCTGATTCAATAGAATCATGTGGATAAATTAATGAGATATTCACTCAAGCATAGCTTGAATAAAGGTTTTAATCTGGAATTTCAAGAACATTAATAAATATGAAAGGTACATGAATTAAGATGAAGAAACCATTAATAAAGCAGATTAATAAAACTTATGAATTATATTTCCCTTGTAGCTTCATGCTTTTCAGCCAACTTTAATCTGAAAAAAATGTAAATGCAATGTCAATTGCCATCTACTGTCCTCCAAATTACTATTTTCTCTTTCTGCTCATCATTAATGTTTCTGCGCCTAATTCTTTCATATCTAGTAATCCATTGTACCTTTACTACCCTGCATAGGGTGAAAATTATTAAAAGAAAATCTTATTAATCACTTATAAGCAGTTAAAACTAAATTAAAAATGTTATGATTGAAATAATTAAGTACTAATTTATAGAAAAATGATTTACAATAGTTCAAATGCCAGAAAATGTAGTTAGTAACTAACACACACATATATATATATATATATATATATATATATATATATATGTGTGTGTGTGTGTGTGTGTGTGTGTCAAAGTGGTTTTTTTTGTGTAATGCATTTTATCCTTTGGAACTTCAGACTAAATTTGTTATGTTATTGTACCTACACATGTGCATGACCGAGAGATGCTGGGAATTTAATTTTTTTTGGTATAATTTAGATGATTTCATTTAGATTCTTTTTCATATTGTTTCCATCACTTTTGTTATTAGGTATCCTACACTGTGATAATAAAAGATCTGCCAGGAATGTGGAAATGTTGTAAGAGCCTGGACTCAAATTTTCTGTGGATGACCTTGTGATCAAGTCATGCTCTAAAAATTTTTGTTTTAGTGAATTGTTTTCTCCTTTAATTAGTGTATCATTTTTAATGTCAAAGTTGTGGTCTGCCTCGTTATGTGTGTATGTGTAGTCGCAGCAACATAACAAAAAAAAGGATGAAATACGTCACATGAAAACTTTTTCCAATTTATCATACATTTTTCCTCCCAATATTATTCTTGATACATTATTATCTCTTATATACACATACACAGATTATATATATATATATATATATATATATATATATATATATACATATACACACACGTGTGAGTGTTATTTTTTTATCAATATAGATTTTATCAATCAAGATCAATTTATAAATTAAGTACAATAAAAAAAATTAATGATAATAACTAATAAAATATTAGATTGAATCATAAGTACATTATTTACACTATTTGGACTATTGTCCTCATCTTTGTCGCTATATTTATTACAATGTTTCGGCCGTTGTATGCTCCTGCCTTCTTCAGGTGGTTAGAATGTTGAACTGAAGCCTTTATTTCGCTCACTGGGGTAGTCTGTTCTAGTTCCATGTGCCATGTTTAATGGATGCCAGTTATCAGTTATCTCCTGTTAATTTCCCTCTGAAAGTTCTCTACTGCCTTAACCAGGTATTGAACTCACACCCTTTGGGTCCTGTCACTGGATCTAACTTTATCCATTGTGCCATGTGTCCTGTACATAATACCTCATCTCAGAAATACAGACAGAATCATAAGTAATGTCTGTTTTTGAGAACAAACTGTAATAAATGAATCATCCTAACTACTGATCATGTGTAGGAGTTAAGAATAAATTTAGAGTACACTAACATAAAAAATAAATTTAGAGTACATTAACATAATTTTTTCACAGCAGTGACAGCATACACAGTGGATTAAATGAAAACTATCATTCTTCTCCATGGCAACGAAAGGCTGCATACAGCAAGAAAAAAAATTGGAACTTGTTTGGCCTGTTCTGATATATTCACTTGACCAAGTAATTATTACCTATTTCAATAAAACACTGATGAGAAAACAAAATTCTCTAATGAAAACCAGATTCAAGTTTATGCTGAAAACTTTTTCACATCAAAACCTGTTGAATTTTACTACAAAATGTATAGAAGAGCTGCTGGATGAAAGATTAGTCATTGTAAATAATGGTGAATATACAAAGTGAGGCAAAAGTTGTGCATCATAAGGATAATTTATTAAAAGTAGAATTAAACACGAAAATTTTATTTACTAGTTATTTAATTGTTATGTGCTGTTCAAAATGTCTTCCTTTTTCAAAACACATTTCAATTCTATGCCTGCATGATTCATTAACATGTTTGAGACTTTTCTTTGTCATTTTACTGCATTCATATTTAATTCTTTCTTGAAGTTCCTCAGTATTTCTTGGGTGCATCTGATAAACAACTGATTTCAAATGGCCCCACAGGAAAAATCCAATGGTTTGAGGTTAGGTTGCTGTGGTGGCTGCTCAACAGGACCTATAAAAATAAATTAGACATTTAAAACATGATTAATTAATCCCTATGGTGCACAACTTTTGCCTCACCCTGTATAATTGAATAAAATGTAATTGTAGTTTATTTTTTGAAGAGTAAAGAATAAAGAAACTATTTATGACTCAACCTAATAGAACAATTACTGTACTAAAAGTTATGTGATGAATATAAGATATGTTCTTACTTTAGCAATCTCAGCTGGTTTCTGTATTAATTAGAGAACATTCAACTTTTAAAGAAAACACTGACTTCTATTTAGCCTATATAAATTGCCAGCATCATTACTTTTTTGTTTTACAACCATTATTAAGTAAACAATGGCTAATGCAGGGTCACTGTTGATAGTTTAATAACTAAGATCAAGATAAGTTTGGTGAATATAGTTTCTAAGGGTCACCTTAATTAGAATAGTTGTTGATAAACTAATAACACTAATCCTTACAACTTTTGTTCAACCCTCATCTGATGACACTCGTGGCCTTGTGCCAGACTAAGCTAAACTTAGTAAATATCAATTGAAGTTTCACCATTCCCCAATAGGGGTTACATTCTAGTGGCCTTATACCAGACTAAACTTATTGAAGCTTCAATATAGAGCAGTTGTTAGCAAGTTGGTAATTACTATTTATTGAGTTCAATCCCCAATAGAGGCCACACTTTTTTGGCCTTGTGCCAGACGAAAGAAATACCAAGCCTGTTTATAATAAACAATACACAACCTTTAGCACTGTACATATAAAGAAGAAAAAAAAGAAAAGAAAAAAGACATTTGTAAATAATTTTATTTAAACACCAGCAATAAGATGAGCAATTTGGAAACACAAATAACTTTTACTATCTTTTCTATTCCACTTTCAGTATTTAATCATTTTACATTATAAAAAAAATAAAAATAACTAATCATGAGACTATTCTGGATACAAAAAGTACAGTACATTCTATTATTTCCTGACAATTGTTTCAATGACATATTTATAGAATAGATGAACAAAGAATAACTATTCAAATGCAAATAAATATTGACTTAGCTATCAATTAAGTCTATCTCTGCTTTACTCTATTACAGATTATATAGATTTGTATTGTGTCAGGTTAACACTAATAAATGTGCTGATAAAAATACATAATTGTACCTGCTGATATTTTGAATATTATGTTCCAAATATCAATAGGTACACGTACACCTGTGTACTTTATCAGTATTTTATTTTGAACATTATATCTCTATGTATAACAACTCTTTTTCATTAAAATATGACTGCTTAAGTCAGGCAGTCATACTTTCAAACTGAGTAAGTTTTCAAAAAAAATGTTCTTTTCATTAAGGTATTCTTTTTATCATTTCATCCCAAGCAAAGTAATAAAGCCACTAGGCCACAAGAGGTTACTGAGTGTTAGAGAATATGAAAAAAACTGCCATTAAAGAGAGAGGACAATAAAAGAATAACCAATAATGATTGACATTGCATTTAATTTTTTGAAGATCAATGTTGGCTGGGTAGCAAGAAGCTGGAAGAGAGTTCCATAAAGTGAGAAATGCAATAGAAAAAACTGTTAGCATAGCCATTTCAACTGAAATAGTATATTTTTTAAGCTTAGTTCAATCACAACAAAATATTACATAATTTTTTATTTTTAAAAGGAAAGTACGCTCTATAAAGAAAATATAGTTATTAGGCATGTGGAAAAGTTTATAACAGCCGTTTTTTTTTTTTAAACTTGAGTTTAAATAAAAGGCTGAAAACTTTTGCACTTACCTAATATTTAAATGTAAAAATCAAATATGAAATAAAGTAATATTTACTTGCAATTTAGGTGCAAAATAGAAGGGGATTTTTTTATTTTTTTTTATTGAGAAAATTTTCCAGTCTCTTCCACCCACATCAAGTTTATTAAAACCACTCCTATTTATTAATCTCACAATTTTAACCAGAACTCAATCAGGAAACAGTAATTATTATTGTTGGTTCAAGTTTTTACTTGCATTCTTTTATGAATGCACCGTTTTAAAAACAATGTTCCATTATTTTTTTTATTCTTTCCAGAATTATGTTCCATTCTTTCATTCTTAAAACAAATTTTCAAGAAATATTGTTATTGCTCTATCATTCTTTGTTTGAAGTAGTGTGGAAAGTCGACATCTTGGTCATGTCATTATTTTCTCAGAGTTACATGTGCTATTCATTTTAGTTGTTATGACTGTTGTAAGTCCTCAAGTGATATGGTTTCTGTTATTTGGTACAGTACTTAGTTTGTGATTTTGTATGACCAGTTCACAAGGTTCAATAAAGGATGCTCTTAAAACCTACTTCAAGACTGGAAAGTGAAGTCTGAGCAGCTCCTACCCAAATTTGACAACAGTACTCCATTTTTGGCCTTATCAGGCTCTTATAAAAGGTAGAAGATAGCATGAGGAGTCAGGTACTTACCAGAGCAGTTCAGGGAGCTGACCATTTTACCTGCATCTTTGGAAATGGAATGTATATAGGAATTCCACTGAAGATTTTATAATAAAGAAAACCCTTCCAGTGATTTCATAGCTGGAGAGCTTGTGTAGCAAACCACTATGCCACACCTTGTCAAAGGCCTTTGAAATATCTAATGCTATGGTTCTTGCAGTGTGTGAGTTGTCAAGGGCCTAACTAATTCTGTGTGTAATGGCTGTTTAGATGTCAGTAGTGAATGAAGTTGATTGAAACCCATATTGCTCGTTGCACAAGAGGTTTTTTCAATCTAGGTGCTCAACGACCTTCTCATTGAATAAGGCCTCACAAAGCTTATTGGTGATACTGAGGAGACTAATGGGTCTATACTGGGAGGGGGAAGATCGGTCACCTGTGTTCTTGAAAACTGGGCACACACTTGTTTCTCCTTCAAGCACCGGTTAAATAACTTTATTAGGATCAGGGGAAATTCTGGGTTGATATTCATAAAGATGACCACTAGTATTTTGTCTATGCCACTGGCTTTTTTTTTTTTGGTCAAGGCTTAGTGAAATTGCTGAGATGGTGAGTCAGTGAGATGTGGGAAGTAGATGATTTATTTAAATACAAAAACATTACTTTAAATATCACTAGATCATTTGTTGATAGAACAAGGAGTTCTGCTCTTGTGACCTCATGCAAGACAAAAATTTGTAAATATCTAGAAAATTCCATTTCAAGCAACATAAATATAACATTTAAGTACAAGAATTACTATACAAGTCCTAAGCATTAATTCATTAATATTTATCCATACATAGCCAATAATTTCCTTTTAATTTTTTGTTAATTTTTATTTCATAAACATCATCATTTGTTACTACTACTACTACTACTACATAGCAATGCTCAAGTCATTTTTGGATAACAAATAAGCAGCATAGTCAGAAATGAAGTATCTAAGGAGATGAACTTGTAAGCTATATCCTTGAGCCTATATGATACTGACAGCAACTAATTTTGTCATGAATACTAACTATCAAGGTGAAGGTAAATCTAGTCATGTAACTACATATTTACTCAATACCATACTGTATAACTAGTAGTAGCTGATATAATAGTGTTATGTAAATTTCTCAGATAATGCTTTCTCATAATCTTCAGATTATTTTAGATTGTGACTTATCAATATGGACTGAAAATAAAGTTACCTCTGGCAAGTTATATTATCTTGATTTTTTGGCAATGTTTAAACTTTGTACAAAAAAAAAAAAAAAAAAAAAAAAAAAAGGAGAGAGAGAAAAAAGAGAGAGAGAGAAAAAAGTAGAGGAGGAAAAAAAAAGAGAAAAAAAGTGTGTCAAAAGGGTGTTTTTTTTTCTCTTGATCCTGCTATTATTTTAGCTACCTTCACTCCTTGAGAATGTTTATTGTTTTAAAAAGTGATGATTAGAATTTTAATAAAATCTAAAACATAGAAAAGTGAATTTATACATTTTCTTTGTTCTAATAAATAATTTTCTTTTATCTAATAAATAAATGGTGCTTAATATTTTTATTGTAAATTCACTTACAATAAAAATATTAAGCACCATTTATTTATTAGATAAATATTGTGGGAAGTGAAGGCAATTAAAATAATAGGGGTGTCAATGGAAAAACTGTCCTTTTGAAAGTTTTTTTTTTGTGGCCATGAAAGTTAAACATTAACAAACTTATTCTGACATGAATCATTGGAAACCATTAACAGATAAAAAAAAAACCTTTAAAGAGATTTAGCAATCTATTCGGTTAGACTTTGTGGAAAAATTGATAAAGTGCTACTTAAAATGCTTTTTTTATTTTTTTTTATTTCCAGTATATTAGTGGTTAAAGTCTTCTTCATACTCTTTCACTCACAGTAGCTTCTTGCATCTTTGTGGCATTATCACCTTGCTTGGGGTGAATTGATAAAAAAAAAATATGCAAAAGGAATAAGATGAAAGTTAAGTTACTAAAAAATAATGAAAATGCTCCATCTTAGAAATTTTTAAAGGTTAAGAATTTTCATTTTTCTTTATTAGATAAACACAAACATGTATCTTTAAGCAAACTGTTAAAGTAGATCTTTTCAGACCAGTCAAGCTGTATGCAGGCCTCCTCAGATTGGCTGGACCATATGCAAAAGCAGGCATCCTCAGACTAGATAGGCCGTATGTGATTGAATGCTTAATTCAATATACAAATTGAAAAAAAATCACTTTATCCTTCATCTGCTAAAACTGATAATGGATATAATAAGCATTTGTTATTTGCTGGATTGCTAAGATTTTTATTCATTCTTTTCTCTAACTACTAATGTTTGATTGATTTGTTTGTTTAATGGCATATGAACTTCTTATGGTTCCATTCAATGCCAAAATTTAATTTTCTTGGGAGCTTTGAAGTAATAAAAATATATTTTATTCTACTTTTGTAATTGAATACATGGTAGATGATACTCAGCTTTTTGTGTATATACATGTTTGTGTCAACATGATTACTAGAGGTGGTGATATGTGCGTTTTATGTTGTAGTTTTGTTGAAGTTATATTTTGAAATACAGTTTGATTTCTTTAAGAAATTGTAGGATATTATACGGGATTAATATCATGAAAGAGTTCTTTTATATTAGTTGTTTAGTTGGTTGGTTTTGTTTAGTGGAAACTGGCATATCAGCCTCTAGGGGATATTTAATGTGAAGATCTAAATATTTTTAACAATTTTATGGCTTCAAGTAAATAAATTTTAAACATGCTTTCAGCTAGAGATAAAATCTCTGTTGGTCATTTTGCTATAAAATGTATTGTTGGTAATTCTATAAAATTGTATTGCTGGTCATTTTACTATAAATATGTACTGTTGGTCACTTTACAATATAAAATTGTATTGCTATTAATTTTACTATAAAAATATATTTTTATGTTTTTGTAGTGTTTTCTTGTTTGTGGTTTCACTATTTGCCCAAGGCTGAAACCCTAACATGTGTTACCACCCTAGGTCAGAGTGGACTTGGGAACAACAACAATTAAGAGGACTACCATTGCTGTATGTAAGTCAGAAAAATCATTGTCAGTAAACTGCAGGGAGAGTTAAATTCATGACTCACTGTGAAAGTAATACCAATCAGTTTGAAGTATAATTAAAACTCAGTTTGCTCATTCTGTTTCGTTATTTTGTTCTAGACTTAGTTTTGAATTTTACATTTATCATCTGGAAGAACATGGAAACTTAACAAGAAAACTGAAAAGTAAGAAAAATAAATATCAATGACATACCTTTCCATCTCTCATCTTGTGCTCTGGGGTAGACTGTATAGTGAGTGGTTATCTTTGGGGTGGCTTTTTCTGAATATAACCGCCTAAAATTTTTGCTTCCATTGTAACCTAGAGAAAAAGAAAGGAAAAATATATCAATAAGATTTTATTTAATCCAAATATAATAGGTTGTCTGTACTAAATAAAATAAACTCCTTAAACCAGGGACAACCATACTTATTTTATAGTACAGGTTGACCATCACTAATCGAGAATCATTGATCTGTAAGGTTACATGACAATATTACATTCTTCCTAGATCTTTTTCCAGATCTTTTTCTGATACATGCTTCACTATAATTTCCACCACTGGCTGGATGTGAACACACTGAAACCAAAGATTGAACTAAAAATTCCATCAATTGTGCATCAACTCTACACATAGCTTCAGTTTTTACTCACAAACTCAAAGAAAAATTACAATCCAGAATTTCCAGTAGCACCCACTCCTGCCTAAAGAAACAAAATAAAAAATTGGAGCCAATCTAAGTCTAAGAAAAGGACAAAAGCCCATCAAAGGGACATTTTCAACAGTTGGATGGCACCACAGCCCAGATTCACAAAGCTTGTCAAAATGTGACCTCCCATCTCTAAAAAAAAAAAAAAAAAAAAAAAAAAAACAACTCGCCAAAGGTCGTCACTGCAGTAAGTCACAACTCATCCTTTTTCTCTGACCTTAAGACTCTGCAGACAACTTTTACAGTTTCACTTATCTCATTCTTTCAACAGGAGACATTTGCACCAATTTACCATTTGTAGTATTTTTATGTTAATACAATTGTTTATTTCTTAAACCTCCATTGTCTCTTTGTTCTGTCACTATATGCATAATATAACAATAGCCTTATCCCAAAAGCTAACAACTTCATCCTTTCTTTAAAATACCCTGCAAACAAGTACATGTTGGTTAATAAATGTAAAATAAAAATTAAATGAAACTTGAGTGAAATTTATTATGGACAATGTATCCTACTTGAGCTTCATACTATGAGAAATACTTCCTATATTCATTGGAGACATGACTAGGGTTAAACGTCAGTAGGTTATGATAAAAATGCACAAAAGACAAGTGGAAATGCCTTACCAGTGTCTGAAAGAGCTCAAAAGCTGATGTAGGCGCTAGCACTCACCAAACAGTAGCACCAGGTTTGTGCAGAGACCCAAGAAGTTTAAAATTGCTCTCATGGAAATTATAACAACAGGGGAGATCACTGGTATTTGAAAGTGATATTCTCAACAACACACACACACACACACACACACAGTTAATGCAAGAATTCCAAGTGCAATCTTTTTCATACTATAAGTGAAATCTTGAGAGTACATTTAAACCTTTCTCTTTTTGTTGCTCATGCAATCAAGTCAAACTTATTATGGTGTTTTCAAACAGGGAAAATCCAGATGCTTCTAAAATTAGCTCCATGTAAACTAATAGACTTGACATAAATGAAAGTATATTTTGGATAAGATAATCCCAGGTGATAAAAGATGAAGAAATCAGGGTTCAATCCCGGGCAGACTTCAACAACAGAATTTGATTGAGGAAAAAAATGGTTCTTCTGTCTTTGATGCAATTCAATATTGTACAATATTTGAGTAAGCAGCACGAGATGTGGATATGACCATCAATGCCTCAAAGACCAAAGTTATGCCGTCCCTGGTTGATCCAGTCAACTGGCAGCCACTGGAGTCAATCTGGTGGATGTGCAGTCTTTCGTCTATCTTGGTTCAACTATCCAGGCAGGCTGCTGCAAGGTCCGCATTTGTGTGTCTCAAGCGGTCACTATGGGGGCAATGGAGAATTTCCACTGCTACAAAGGGGCGCATCTATCAGGCTATTGTTCAGACTATCCTTCTCTATGGCTGTGAAATGTGGCCACTTAGAGTGGTTGACCTACGAAGGCTTGAAGTATTTGACAACGATTGCCTTCAATGCATTCTATGATGCCGCTGAATCGATCATGTGCCCACAGCCACTCTACGTCGATGCCTGAGTCTCTGTCCTCTTCCACCCGTCCTGCTCCAGTATCGTCTCCGATGGTTCGGGCAAGCAGCTCAATGCCCAGAGGGAGAGCTCATCTGTGATGTACTTCTCCCTCCTTCTCTTCCTGGTTGGCGAAAATGTCTTGGTGAGTAGCTGAGGACGTGGGCTAGCACAATCAAGGATGACCTAGCAGTACTACCGGATCCACAAGTAGTTGGTCTTTGATGATGGAATTGCGATTGGCTCGCCATTTTGTGTGACCTGGCTCAGGATCGGCGTGGGCAGTGATGGATCGTGATGCTGTACTTGCTCGAGAGGAAGCCGGTTCAACCGATACAAGTCAAAAGTAAGCAAATGTCTCATTTGAATGAATCATCAAAATAGAAAAGGTTATTTTTTTTCTATTTTGTTATGACAAAACTCCTCTTTTATGATAATTGTTCTGTGAACTTTCCCCTGTGGTACTTAGATTTGATGAATTTAAGTGCAGTACTAGATTGGCAGCTTGGTCTCATCATTTTAAAGTTGAAATGACTAGATGTAACCATATGTTCTATGCTAACAGTTTCTTTTCTTGTACTTATTGCTTTTGTGAAACTCTTCTGACTTCTTGTTTTTCAGTCAACTTTGATCTTCGAAAATTTAAATGCAATTATTATCATCTGTCTTAATTCTTGTTCTTTTATTGTTCTCTCTGTTTATGTTTTTTTCACAGTTTCAGTAACATTTAGCATTTTAGCGGCTTTATTGCCTTGTTTGGGGTGAAAATAAAAGATAAAAAATTCAGCATTGACAGAAAAGAACTAATATTGATAGGAGTTTCCTTCCAATGTTTTTGTTTTTGGTAGTGTAGAAAATTAACACCTTGATAATGTCCTTATTTACAAGTACTACCCATTTTTTTGTTGCTGCTGTTAAAGATGTTCATGAAATTTAGTTTGAAAAATCTTTGTGATTTTCTAGTGCTAGTCTATAGGTATGATGAAGGATAGGTTTGTTCTCTACAACAGCCGTTGCAAGCAATGCAGACCATACTGACTGTTAGCAAACCATAGTTACAGCACCAGTCAATGCAATTATCAATATTGTAAAACTAAAATACTAAATCTAATATATATCTATCTATATATATATATATATATATATATATATATATATATATCTGGATTACATCCTCTTTGGAATTATCCATACTGATACCAAACCTTTCATTACCTTACTATATATAAAATTTTTAAAGCCATTTTCACCATTAATCTGAGAAAAATGTTGTATGCAGATGATAGTTTAGACATTTCTTAATGAGTTGGATGCTATGTATGACATTAAAATAATTAAGATTGAATAATGATGCTATGAATTTATATGAATAAATTTTAAAAATAGTTAAATATGCTTGAAAATTTTACATCAACCTAATAAAAGAAAAACTTAAAATTTCAAGAAAATACAGGAGATGTCTGTATTGATTTATTTTTAGAACCAAGAATCCTGACACGTATTAGTCTTTATACGTATGTATATGATGCTTGTCATCAAACTACAAAGGATGCTTAAAAATTCTTCACTAAATCTACTTCCTAAAATCTGACCAAGCTTTTTTGGAAGGGCTTCTTCATCATGATAACTTTTCAGCACTCCTTTGTATATATATTTATCACCAGTGATGCCTATTTGACAGTATTTCTTTATAATTTTAATTCTTTCTTTAATAGTTCTCTCAAATTTTGGAATTAGATAATAATACCTTTATAAGTCACTAAATATGTATTAGTAAGTATTATTAGTAAAATAAGTATTATTTTATGAATCAGCTCTATTATAATCTATTGTTATAAATAGTTTTCAAGGAATCTTTCAGTAGAAAAGTATTTTAAAAACCGAGAAATTTTTTTCAAGAGATTTTTAAATATTATATTATTAGATCAAAAATAGTTGTCTCCCTTGTATTATCATCCTTGTATTGTAACGCAACGCAGACTTAGTAACCTCATCCAATGTTTATTCATTCAAACGTGAAGATTTTGTGTGTTTATGTGTGAGGTGTGGGGGGCGAACGTGTGAAATTTACTCAAATATATTTTTTTCTATACTAAGAGTAACTTTCGTTGCAAACAAGTATGATATAAAAATGATTTTTAAAAAATCGTTTGAAGCCCTAACACTTATTTTCTAACTTATATATAAAATTACATAAACTAGAAAATTTAGTAAATTTTTGCTAATGTTTGTCTACTTATGGTCTTTGCTACATATTTTTAGGGTTTAAAAATACTTAAAAAAAATTATGAAACAAACAAAACTAAAATAGTTCGAGAAGCACTGAGTGCATTCAATAAACTGTTTAATGAATTTGATCCTAAGTTTATCACACGTGGCCGAATAGCAGAGCTATTAGGCATTGTTCCATGTATTATATCAAAATAACATCAGCAATGTGAAAATTCATGATGAACAATATTTATTAATGTTTTTGTTACTATCAGTTAAGTAAGTACATTTAGCACAATAATAAAAGAAATTATTCAGTTTATGGCTTTTTAAGTTTGTGTTTCTATAAAATAAATGATTTTTTAATAATTTAAAAAAATCATCCATTATTAAGCAAAAAGTATGAAATATCCTATAATTCATAATTAATTTTGCCACAGTTTATTAATTATTTATTAATTAATTTTGCCATTGTTTATTTAAAAATAATTGGGATGATACTGGATTTAAATTGCAAACATTGATATATTGGCATACTTTTTGTTATGATTTTTAATGTTATATGTTTTCATTTACAAATGTGTTTATTTATGAGTTCAGAAATAAAACCTTCTTTGAAACATGCTGAATTAGAATATATACGGTTTTAAGGGTTTAAATACCGCAATGTCAGAGTTTAAGCCATACATTCATACACATAAATGTCCTTTATTATAGATTAAGCTTAGTAAATATTAATAATAGAATTGGGTTTCATCAGTGACTCTTCCAATAGTTTTATTTGAATATCCAGAATCTGAAGATATTCAAGTAATAAAAAGAAATGATCTTTAATTTTTGATATATATATCCCTTTTTAAGAGTTAGTTTAGGACTATATTCAGTAATACATGATTTGAATGTTGAGTAACAGATAAACGTGTTCCATTTTGATGCATGGTTTTCTGTTCATAGAATTCATGCCCATTTATTTAAAAGTT